GTCTCTACCAAGGCGACTTTCGCCCTCGCATCTTCAATCTTCGCCTGCAGGGGTTCGGTATGCTCATGCTGCGCGACTATTTCTCGCGCAGTCAATCTTGAGCGTTCTATATCTGCATGAAGTTGTTTCGCTTGGATAATCCAGTCGTCGGCATCGAAGGTGTTCTCGCGACTCAAGGAGCTAATCTCATTCTAATCAAGTAAAGCAGCGCTGGTCAGTCTTCGTTGACGTGCATAGATAGACATTGGAGATTCCATACCTCAACTTGCTCGCGCGCCTTCGATATAAGCTCGAGTTCCCTGGCGAGAGCAGCTGCTGGGAACTTACCAGCAACTACACTCTCCTCGGGATACGTGCCATCGGTGACGAAGCCTAATACCGCCTGGCACAGCTCCTCGGTATTTCCTCCCATGATGCCAACGTTCCCAGAATGAAGCTCGAATCTTCAGGGACAAGGTTCGGAGCTTCGGAGATACAAAGTGTAGATGCACATGTAAAGGAAGAGTCAAGCTGTCAACAACCCGTGACTTCCAAGGTTTGGGCGTCACCGCCCCCACGTGGTGTATATGTTGTATGCTTTCGCTCTAGATCTATAAATTTTACTAAATTTTAAATAAGACTATATATACTTTGAATGTGACTGGTTGCAAATAATTCGAAATCAAATAATTCTCTCTTTGTTATATAAATTCTTTCAGTTTTCCGCTTTGTAAGGAAAACCGGAGACTGAGGTCTCCCCCAAACTTGGAAAATTCCGGGTCCAACACACTTTTGAAGACATCTCAGACTCACCGTGTCTCGAATTCTCCCCCTGAGTCGGAGAACTTGTTTTCTGTAAGTCAATGCGGATTGAGTTCTTAGTTCTTATTGCCTATAGAGGGGTATCAAGTGTATCGACATTCTATCCCCAAATTTCTTCTTGCGACCCCACCTATGTCCCTTATCCTTGTCGATATGTCGCAGGTCTGCTCCATATGTTCTTTCAGAACGTGGTTTGGAAAAGATATGCTTGTTTCTGATTTCATTCCCATCTTATTCGAACCCAGCTTGGTGTGAATATTTTTCTCTCATCCGAGTTGTGGTTATAACACTTGTTATCAGACTATTCCTTGACCATCCATCGTGGACGTGCTGATGTGCTCACGACCATATCGAATTCCGAGTTAATGGACAAGAATTGCTAACGAAAATAACCAGACTGTTAAGCTTACGGCGAAATATCTTCACTGGGTCTGTCCCATTGATCAATATGTCGCCCTCGGTGCAGAACAGTCACTTCAAATTGCTACAGCAGTTCAAGCCCGATTACTCGCCGAGCGAGTTCACTCAATATGAATCACAGCGTACTGGTATGAGAGTGGTCGTTATCGATCAGCCGGGTCCCAAAGTGAACGGTTACTTTGTGCTTGCTACAGAAATCCACGATGATTCGGGTGCTCCCCATACTCTGGAGCACTTGTGCTTCATGGGTTCCCGCAATTACCGCTACAAGGGCTTCTTGGATAAGCTGGCTACTCGCGTGTACTCCAGCACCAACGCCTGGACCGCAACTGATCATACTGCCTACACGCTGGATACCGCAGGCTGGGAAGGCTTTGCTCGTATCCTGCCAGTCTACCTGGAGCATGTGATTGCTCCTACCCTGACTGATGAAGGCTGCTACACTGAAGTTCACCACGTCGATGGCTCTGGAAATGATGCCGGTGTCGTGTATTCTGAGATGCAGGGTGTGCAGAACAATGCTGCTGAGCTAATCGACCTGGCAGCCCGGCGATTGACCTACCCGCCTGGCGTGGGATTCCGCTATGAGACAGGAGGTATGATGGAACAGCTTCGGGTCTTGCCCGCGGAACGAATTCGCGAGTTCCACCGTGAGATGTATCAGCCCAAGAACCTGTGTCTGATCCTCACCGGAGAAGTCGACCAGGAAAACATGCTGGAAATCCTGGATAAGTTCGAAGACACTATCCTGGATGTCATTCCTAGCCCAGAGGCACCATTCAAGAGACCTTGGGTGGATTCCAAGCAGGCTCCTTATTTGGAGAAGTCCGTTATTCAGAAGGTTGAGTTCCCCGAGGAAGATGAATCGTTCGGTGAAATCGAAATTCGATTCATGGGACCAGACTGCACCGACGCCGTCCTCTGTAAGATCCAAATCCCGCCCCCAACATTTGAAATAAATTACTTACAGTATCATAGCTGGGGCTCTTAATGTGTCCCTTTTGTACCTGGCTGGTTCATCTGCAGCTCTGTTAGAGAACATCATTGTTGAGAAAGAACAGCTTGCCAGTGCCGTTTACTACGCAACTGAGGACCACCCTAGCATGGAGGTTCGTTTCACGTTGACCAGCGTGGAAACAGAGAAGTTGGAGAGCGTCGAGAAGAGATTCTTTGAGATCCTCCAAGATGCGATGGCCAAGGAACTGGATCTGAAGTACCTGAAAGAGTGTATCGCCCGACAGCGCCGAACCTGGAAGTTCTCGACCGAGTCTTCTGCCTCTTCGTTCGCAGAGTACGTTATCTCCGATTTCCTGTTCGGAAAGCGCGATGGCTCGACCTTGATGGATGTCGCAACTCTGAAGGAATATGATGTCCTTGAGACCTGGTCCGAGGACCAGTGGCGCTCTTTCATCAAGAAATGGATCTCGGATGCGGCTCATGTCACTATTTTGGGTATCCCATCACAGAAGATGTCCGCTACACTTAAAAAGGACGAGGAGGACCGGGCTGCTGCGCAAAAGGAGCGTCTCGGCGAGAAGGGCCTCAAGGAGCTTGCCGACAAACTCGAAAAGGCCAAGGCAGAGAATGACAAGGAGATTCCCCAGGAATTGCTGGAAAAGTTCGCTATTCCCGGAACCGAGTCAATCCACTTCATGGAGACCAGTACGGCTCGTTCAGGTGCTGCCCTGAAGGCTGGACGCCCTGACAACAAGATCCAAACCCTTGTTGATGCCGACAAGTCTGACCAGTCCCTTTTCATCCACTTCGAGCACATCCCCAGTAGCTTTGTCCAACTTTCAGTTCTCATCTCCGCTGATTCTGTACCCGTTCAGTTGCGCCCATTGCTGTCCATCTACACCGAAGCGTTCTTCAACATTCCGGTGCAGCGTGATGGCAAGACAATTGACTTTGAGCAGGTCGTAGTGGAATTGGAGAGAGACACTGTCGGATACTCGATGGAGACTGCTCGCGGACTTGGAAACTCGGAGATGCTCCGTATATCCTTCCAGGTCGAGCTGGAGAAGTATGCGAACGCCGTCGCCTGGCTACAGGAACTATGCTGGAAGTCCGTCTTCGATGTGAAGAGACTCCGCGCTATCAACTCCCGTCTTTTGGCCGATGTGCCCGACTCCAAGCGTAGTGGTGACGACATGCTTGCTGCTGTACATGTGATGGTTCACTACGCAGACGAGTCGATCACCCGTGCTCGTTCCACTTTGGTGAAGGCTCGCTACCTCAAGCGCGTCAAGCGTCTGCTCGCCGAGAAGCCCGAGGAAATTGTCAGCCGCATGGAGGAGATCCGCAAGTCGCTCTTCAAGCCCGACAATGTGCGCATCATTGTCATTGCCGACCTCGAGAAACTCCAGAACCCCGTCTCGGCCTGGAAGCCCTTCGCCGAGACCTTGGGCACCAGCACTGAGTTGCGACCTATCACTGACCGACGATCCCGGCTGAGTGATGCCGGCAAGAACATTGGCGGCAAGTCTTACATTGTTCCCATGCCGACTGTCGACTCGTCTTTCGCCTACGCTACTGCCCGTGGTCTGGATTCGTACGATTCCCCGGATCTGCCCGCCCTACTGGTCGCGATTTCATACATGAACGCTGTCGAGGGTCCACTCTGGGTTGCAGTCCGCGGCACTGGTCTGGCGTACGGTACTAACTTCAGTTACAACATCGACACTGGCTTTGTCAACTTCGATGTGTACCGGTCCCCGAACTCCCACAAGGCGTTCGAGTCTAGCAAGCAGATTGTTGAGGACTATCTGTCTGGTGCTACGCCTTTCGATCCTTTGATGCTCGAAGGTGCTATCAGCAGCATCGTGGTCAACTATGCCAATGAACAGATGACTGCCGCCAATGCTGCGCAGGGCAGTTTCATCCGCCAGGTCGTACGCAACTTGCCCAGCGACTATAAGGAGAAGATGCTCAAGAATGTGCGCGCTATCACCATCGACCAGATCAAGAGTGCTCTGCGTGATGTTATCTTGCCGTTGTTTGATCCCAAGACTGCCAACCTGGTTGTCACCTGCGCGACTGTGTTGGAAGATGTGAGTTGTTCCCTAGTTTTCGCTTGCAGGTATTGATTGCTAACTTTTGATTGCGAATAGACTATCAAGCAGGGCTTCGAAGCTTCCGGCTTCACTCCTACAGTTCAGCCTCTTAAGGAATTCGAGGACGACTATGGTCTGAAGGTTGGCGACGAGGAAGAAGATGAGGACGATGACGAAGACGACGAAGACGACGAAGATGATGACGAGGACTCCGAGACCGGATCGGAGGAGTATAGCGAGGACGAAAGCGACGACGAGTGATATGTTTGACGAACAAACAATCTATACATGGGTAGTGAGGTAGATCACATAGATAGAATTGTGGTGTCGAGAGACTCTACATAATCTAGACAGTGATTAATCTACGTTTTTACTTGCTGCAAACAAGCCGCAACCCCTAAGATCTCGACTGAAACAAACAAAGCTGAAAAATTCGCACTATATGAAATGTAGTCACACACATCCTCAGGAGAGGTAAATATGGTACACGCCAGACAAGACCCGCCAGCAACTGCCTTGCCTGAACCCGGATCCAATCTTGAAGACTATGATAGTACCAAGAATGGATAAATCGGTAATTGAACCCCTAATTTCTTCCCACCGTTGTCGTGAGACGGTATGAATTCCAATCAATCCAACCCACCCCGTGACCTCCGCGGTACAAATCCCATCCTATTCCACGACAACCCCCGAACGATTGAAAGATCGGCGCCAAAACGAATAAAATTACCAACTCAACTCCTTCCGACCCTTAAGAGTCCTCCGAATAAGAGTCTTACGTCCATTCCTGTCCTTCTTGCGTGCCAGATATCCATGGCGGCGCTTCTGGACCCGTCGTGACGGACGGAACGTCACACGTCGCACGCCTAGGGAAGCACTTGCGGAGAACGAGCGGGACTGCGAGGGAGTCTTCTGGGAGAGAAGTGAGGATAAGGGTGAGAAGGCGGAGGCGGTTGCGGTTGTGATTGGCGAGGACAGGCGGGCACCGAGTGTCCGCGAGGGTTGGAAGCGGGTTGGCGTGGAGAGGAGGGAGGAGAAGGATCGGGATGAGAGCATTGTGGAGGGTGTGCTTGGTTGTTGGGGGATTTGAGCGAATCTGTTTCCGGGAGGAGTAGAGTGTTAGCTTGTCTGGTTGGTTTCGAGACTGGAAAGGTTGTTGGCTGCTTTGCGTACCTGTTCATCGGGGTTCGCATGGCCGATGTGGTGGCCCGGAAGGTTGAGGGCACGGCCCTGGCGCGGAGACAGAACATTTTGAGGGCCCTGGATTTGTTTGGAGGGCGATTGAGGTGGGGTGGGAGCTTTTGAAGTTGGAGATCGAGTGAGGCCTGGTGGACAAGACGCGGCGTCGGAAGACAGAAAATTAAGCGCGGAGCCGCTGGCACGGACCCGCCTAGAGATGTATGGCTACATTAATTGACGATTAATTAGTTAGAATAGATAAAGGATAGTATTGGATTGTTTTTATATGTAAGATCTACTTACAATCCTATGACTACTATATAACTATGTCCGTTTAGCTGTCAATAAATATCAAACTATAGTTGCAGCGCATCCCGTTAAGAAGACCTACCCGATCGGGACTAGCGTCACCGAACTTTTTTGATCTCGAGATGCGAAATGCTCAACGTCGCCAGTACAACCCTCCGTCTTGCTCGCAAGTCACACTGAACCCGAGAGAAAATCTACTGCCAAAACTACAAATCCAAATACCAGGCAAAATCACCCCATAATCGCCGCCCCCACCACCCCTCAACCTCAAAAACTCACCCTCTAAACCCGGCGAAGAATACAAATTCCACCAAAATGGCAACCCAAGGTCCCCAGGCTCTCCCCCCAGTTACAGTCCAGGGCACACAGGTCATCAGCCAGTCCGCAGCGCAGGAATTCCTAGCTGCCTACCTGGACCGCGCCGCGACAGACCCATCTCTGCAACCCAATGCCAGCATCAGCGAGCACGGCCCCGTCTCACGGACAACCGCCGCAGCACCGAACTTGATCCTCCACAACCTGAAGCGTGTCCAAGCGGGTCTAGCTGGCGAGCTCCTCGGTCGTGATCTGACTGTCGCGAAGCAGAACCCCGGAGAAGATTATTTGGATGTTGCTGCGGGTATTCCGCAGACCAACAACCACGAGCAGCTGGACGATAGCAATGATCTTGTCATGAATGATGCTGAGTTTGGTATGGAGGCTGAGGCCTTCGCGAATCAGGAGGCCGGTATCGATAAGGAGGAGCGCAAGCGCAAGAAGAAGGAGAGACGGTTGGCGGAGAAGAAGGGTAAGGCCCAGGCGAAGGCCGAAGAATCCGATTGAGAGTGTGGTGTGGGTATATATTTGGTTGTGGGCGTTGCTGCATTGGGTCGGAGTCTCTTTTCTTTCCATTCGTTCTATTGCTCTATTACTCTGGGCTGGGTTTGGGTTTTGGACGTACAAAAAAGTACTGCTCGCATTTCATGTCTGGACAAAAAAAGTGTCATTTAGAGTTTAGACGGATTGCTACAATCCAATCAATACATAATGGAACATTTCCAAGCCTCGCTCTTTCTCCTCGAGATTAGTGCTCCGACATGTCACTGGCACAAAAAAAGTCATGTCCATATCATATGAAGATCGCCGACATAACACGCTTCCCGTTTACAGCTCGCGGTCCGCGGCCTTGACGGGCTTTTCACTGTCCTCCTCCTTGCTGCTGGTGACCTTGCCACCCTTCCATCCAAGCGCAGCGAGACGCTCGGTGAGGATGGGGTGAGAGTAGTGGTAGCTAGCGTAGATGGGATCGGCGTCCATAGTGCTGAGGTTCTGGATCTGGAGCTTCAGGAGCGAGGAAGCGAGCTTGTCGGAGTAACCAAGTTTCTGGGCAAATTCATCTGTGGGATACTGTTAGTATATGAGCGTATGGGATATATCGAACGGAACATACCGGCCTCGAATTCGAACTTGCGGCTAAGGATGTTCATGAGAAGCTTCACGACAGCATCCATAGGAGCCAGGGCGTCGGAAAAGAGCAGGAAACCAATCATGATAGGCTGTTCCTTGACGAATCCAAAGGACTGGTACAGCGACTTGTTGTTAACAAAGACAGAGAAAAGGGCGAAGATGTAGAACATATGGGCCTACAGTACATAGTTAGTGATAATTCTCCAGAAAGGCAACTGGGCAAATTCGTACCTGGGCAATGCCGAACAACTTGGTGGTGTGACTGAGGCTCCAGTGGCCAAGCTCATGGCCCAGCACAGCAACAACCTCCTCGGGCTCAGTCTTCTCAATCAGAGTGTCGTAGATGACAATGTGCTTCTTCCATGGCAGACCATAGAAGTAGGCATTGCTGTGGGCACTGCGCTTGCTGCCGTCAATGACATGCAGCTCGGAGAGAGGGAACTCGAGTCTCTTGGCCAGGTTCTCGACGCCAGTCTTGAGATCACCGGGCTGAAGAGGCGAGAGCTTGTTGAACAGAGGCAGGATGGCAATGGGGTAAATAGTAATGGCGAAAACCTGGAGGAAGACACCGAACAGCCAGAGGTAGTAGTAGAACGAGCTGTCAAACTTCTGCACAATCTTAAGAATGGCACTGATGATGGGAGCTCCCAAAACAATTCCAAGCATTTGACCCTTGAGCATATCCGTAATCCAAAGCTTAACCGTCTGCTTGTTGAAACCGAACTTCTCCTCGAGCACAAACGTGTTGTAGTACGAGACGGGCAGCGAGAGGATAGTGCTTAGAATGTTGAAACCGAAGAAGAATACCAATGTTTGACAGATTTCACCTTGGAACCGACCGGGGAGGTACCGAGCCAGCACGAGACCGCTGAGGCCCCAGAGCTTAGGGAGGACATCGCCGTAGATGAATGCAAGGTTTTGGATTTGACCGTAAAGACCGGAAAAGAAGCTGAACTTGGCCTTTGCGCGACCGTATGCCTGTTATGATATTCCAATAAGCCCCTGGATATAGTATAATGCTGCGTCATTGGGTTCATACCTGACTCTGGTCGAAGACCTTCTGGGTAACCTCCCCTGCGAGAACCTGGGGAGGCTTCGTACGTTGCAAAAACTTATACTGCCGGAGTGAGAGGAAACCTTCAAGGACGAACTGGCCCAGTGAGAAGCCCACAAGCACGTTCTTCCATGGGAAGAGCGGGCGATCGAGCAAGCGCGCCAATTGCTGGATGGAGATAGTTATTAGCGACGTGTCCACGGTGGAAAACAAATTCACCTTGTAAACATGAGGGTATCTCAATCAAATCAACTTACCTCGAGGATATACATGATTGAAATCGCGCAACTAGGCGAAGAAAGAGGACGTTGTTCAAGGCAGAAGATGCTACTTTGTTATTATCGGCAGCCTTAGTCAGATATCATGCATGACGGGCATTATATGGGGCCGGACGCAACGTCGATCTCAGGAGTTATAAACTTATTAACTTATTAACTATAGAGACTAATTTATTTTGAGTTGAATATCTAAGGAGTGAGACGAGGAATTAATAACAGTTCCCGGGATTTCAGTCTACCAAATGTATTAGGGTGTATGTTCATCCCTTGCGAGATAATACGAGTGGTCATACTTCAGGTCGTGGAATATATACATCCGACCTGCGGACCATCTAACTAGTAGTGGGCGCCTCTACCCTTATTTTCAAATGTTTTTAATGTTAGTTCTATCAGACGAAGACTCCATCTGTAAATCGATTAAACATGCAGATGCTCTTAAATTGTGCCGGCCCTAATTCCCCTGCATTTTAAACCGCAGACCTGTATAGGCCTATCTACATAAGATCCGATGATGCAGACAAAAAAAAAAGAGCAAGGAACAGGAAACCTCTTGAAAACAACTCCCTCGTACGATGGAAATAAAAAGCACATATCTTATTCGCCGACTTTACCTGCATCCCGTTCGTCGTCCGTTCCTCAGATCAAATCCTAGCATGCAGCCACGAACCAAAAGAAATGGTCGCTGACATGCATGAAGCAGGGAAACCGATCAAGGTGGCGACAATACAGGATTGCGTGTCTCCTCCATCTTCTCTATTCAGCCGGGGGAATCAGTTAAATCACGTCTTTAATTTTCCGACTCGTCATGACCATAAACTTTTTTGCAATCATAGATCGCAAGATTCGTGTTCGAGGGTCGGTGGGGGTGAGATTGTTATCGGGGGACATAGCAAGATTTATGTGCAAATCAACTTCTCCGACATAACGAACCTCATCCCCCAAGCTCCCCATTTCGAACTGGGAAATCGTTCAAATGATTGCTTTACTGCTGCACAGGCTCGAGGGTGTTACCACTGCGGAGTGAAATGGTTAGCATTTGTCATCAGAAATAATATCAAACCTGTAAACTTACGCAACAATGTTGGCCCATCCAATCAAACGCCAGTGCTTCTCGATTCTGCGACTGATGGCGATCTTCTCACCAACCTCAGTACAGGCGGGACTGGTCAAGCTGAGCTTGGCGGCATCGGCCTTGACACCGAGGACCTTAGCACCAGTAGCGGTGGAACCGATGTTAACCATCAGAACCTCGTTCTTAGCAAGCTTAGCAACCTTGGCCTGCTTGCCGTCGGCGGTCTTGACACCAAGGAGGCGACGAAGCAGGAAGTAGTTGACCTCAATCTCGGTGTAGATGGCGGGGAGACGGCCACGGTGACCGAGAACGAAACCGACAAGACGATCGGCACGGCAAAGCGTGGGGTCGACACGGGTACCAACACCGATCAAACCACCGGGAACGGCAAACTTGAGGTCATTGTGCTCAGCGAAGAGAGACACAATGCGGGAGAAAATGGGACGGCACTGGATCTTGCCTTGCTCATCCTTGGTGACGAGACCGGGGCGGATCTCAATCTCATCATTCAGCTTTACAACACCGGTAAGGATGGAACCACCGGCAACACCACCCTTGAGCTCATCGATCTCGGCACCGGGCTTGTTGACGTCGAAGGAACGAATGATCATCATGTGAGGTGTAGCCTCGAAGTTGCGAATGGGGATGGGGATCGTCTGGACAAGTGCCTCGTTGACAGCATCGATGTTGTACTTCAGCTGTGCAGAAATGGGGATAACGGGGGACCCATCAGCAACGGTACCACGGATGAACTTGAGAATGGACTGGTAATGCTCCAGGGCATTATCGCTTCGCATGAGGTCAACTGTTTTATTTTCAAACGTCAGTGTTTCGTTTTCATTGAAAGATTGGAAGAACCAAGATCTTACCCTTATTTTGGAGAATGACGATGTGGTTGAGCTTCATGATCTCAATGGCAGCCAAATGCTCCGAGGTCTGGGGTTGAGGGCAGGTTTCATTTCCGGCAATCAAGAGGAGAGCGGCATCCTAGTGAAATGATGTTAGCTTCCCACCAATCCCTTGAAATCATAATTGCTGTAGTGGGGGATGAAACCTACCATGACCGCAGCTCCTGAAAGCATAGTGCTCATCTGTGCAAAGCTGATTAGCATCAACTCTCAAAAGAGAAGATGAATTTCCCAAGATGCGCATGGGAATGAAGACTAACCAGAATATCGTGACCTATGATTCAATATTAGCGGTGCTTCAACTTCGGACAGAGACGGATCTAGTGGACATACCAGGGCAATCGACGAAACTTTTTTTTTGGATCAAATGTTAGCTTATACTTAATATATAAAGAGAAAAACCTCCCTTGTGGGGGGGGTAACTGGGGACTGGTGATACCTGAGGTGACGCTGTATGAGATGTCAGATTGGGCCACTTGAGAAAAGGCTCTGAGATTGGACTTCAGAGGGGGAGGAGCAGGAGAACATACCAGCAAACGGTAACGGCCTTGACATCCTTCGCGCTCACATGGCGGGTCAATTTCCTTCTCACTCTTGAAACTCTTGTAACATGTAGGTCGAGGGCACTCGGGGCTGTCACACTTGTAGATCTTCGCGTTGGCGTAACCAAGCTTAATGGTAATGTTGCGCTCAAGCTCGTTCTTGAAGCGGACGGTTTGAACCTCAGAAATAGCCTTGACAACGGTGGATTTTCCGCTAGAATTATATTAGCATGCGTGTGGGAAGAAAAATGCGAGAGAGGGCGTCTAACTGAGCGACATGTCCGATCGTGCCTGATAAATCACGTCAGTAAATTTGTTATTTGGGAAAATAGAATCCAATAGATGGAGGGAATTTCTGAGCGTAGAAGCTTTCAGAAACCAATAATCACATACCAATGTTCTGAGTAGCTTGGCGAGCAATGATCTCAGGCGAAAGAGGCGTCAATTTTGACAGGTCGAGGGTTTCCGGGTTAGGCTGCTCGGGCAGTTCTGGGCGCTTCGGTTGAGGAGCAGAGTCAGCCTTCTTCATGGCAGACTTGAGAGGCTTCTCCTCCTGCTCAAGGGGCTCCTGGTCCTCGATCTCTCCGCGAGCATTGTGGGCGTCGAGTAAAGGTGAGCCGGGTTGGGATCCCTCGTCGGAGAAATCGCCGTTGGAAGCCATGTTTGCAAAGTAGAATAGAAAATCAACGCGCGATCAGCAGCAGCGTTAAATGAAAACGCAAAGTGGTTATACGGAGACGGAGCTGGTGGATAGAAGGTGGGAGGTCGGATGAAAATTGCTTCCCGCGGGCGATATGATAATGAAAGAATGTAGGTGGGGGATTGTGTGTAGTGGAGAGCCGGGCGGTGTCTGGATGGCAACTTTACATTTCATCTACGTTATAACGGCTTAAGTAAATATGTTAGATACATATATAATGTAATTTCGCGTTTATTTTAGTTATTTTATACAATTTTAATGTTGTGTCTCGGTTTATTGTGGGTGATTCACTTATCTTTGTCTGAGAAAATCCCTGCGAACTAATAGAGCGACACCATCAGATGTGCCACACCGGGTTTTATAGAGCAGTGATGGGAATAACATACTAAAACATTTCTCAGTTGAGTCGAACTTTCAGACTTGAAAAAAGATATAGTTCAAAATAGAATCATACATAATTATTTTCATTTCCTAGGACAATAGACTCGGGGGCATTTTTATTTTTCATACTCATGATACATTGGTTGCCACTGGGGATCTATTTGACGGTACAAAGGGTATAACAGTTGACAGCAATGAGAGGTTACTCGTCGTCGCTATCACTCGATGACTCTACCTCATCTTCAGAGTCGTCTTCGGAGTCTATCAATGTAGACGGATCCTCCGCAGGCAGCATGACAAAGGCAGCCAAGCATGTGATGCGGTTACCAGTTTCGTTGGTGGCCAAGAGCTTTCCAATCTGAGTCGTATCCTTCTTCTCTTGCTTTGCCGCGGAAATTTCTTTCCCAGCAGCCTTCCAAACACGGACCACTCCGTCGCTGTTACCGGTGACGACCAAGAAGTCGTTACGGAGTTCCTTTGCTTGACCTTCAAGTGTGAGGATTTCGAAATCCTTGATACGGCCAGGGAACCCAGTTTCCTTTCCACCAACCTGAGCGACAGGGGTAGCATAGGAAATTGAGCATTCCGTATCATCCTCCGCTTTCTTCAATTCTTTGGTCGAATAGAAGATCACTCGGCCATCCTCCGTAGAGACAGCCAAGAAATCTTCCTTTTCACCACCCTTCAAAGGCAAAGAAACATACTTCATCTGGTGAAGTTTGCTGCGTGGGCTAGGAAGAACTCTGCATCTTGGAATCGAGTCCTGTGCCAATAGTCAGAAATTTGATCAACGGGTATACCATCCAGATAACTTACGATTCCGAACACGACTGCACCCCATTCGAAAGCGACGGCAAACTCCTCTCCTTCAGAGTCCCATGCGATGCGCCGACCTTCTCCAGTGCTCCATCTCGACTCCTTGACACCTTGTAGGACCTCCCGAGTGAAGTTCAACACACCGGCCTTTCTGCCGGTCACGAGATTCCACAATCTCATACATTTCTCTCCTCGTCCAACACTCAGCATAAGCTTCATACTGGGGTGCACCGCAAAATGGTTCACTCCAGATGGAGCAGCTCCGGGAGGTGCCGTGTCACCGCTTGGTCGTCCTTGGATTTTTGGATTTGGTGCTTTGATAGTTGATACGACGGTCCAGTCACGGGTCTTGGAGATGGAGATTGTGTTGTCTTCTCCGGCTGCCAGTAACTTGGTTCGCGAAGGGAAGCTCAAAGAGGTAATACTGGCAGTGTGGTGCAACAGTGATCCTAGCTCACGGTTCCGGGGATTTTCGAGGATCTTGTTTCCAGCAAAGGTTGGCACGGACGGATAGTCTTCATTGACGGCAGGGGGTGCGGCGGAGATCGAGTACAGGTTGATGCGCTCATCTGTACTACCACTGGCCAGCATCACCTTTTGAGCATCGACGGGGTCGGTGGGTTTAGGTAGTGGGGACAATGCTAGACAACGAATTGCAGATCCATGGGCTTCAAATAGGAAAGTATCCATGCATTGGATGTCTGGAGAGTCAGCCTCAGCTTTAGCTTTTAGGCTAGAGGCTGGAACCCCGACGGTGAAGCCATGGAGCACTCGCTCATAAGACCCTGTGACAACTTGGACGGTGAAAGCTGCATCGGGAGTCTCTGCGGGAGCAGCGACAGACTTGGTAACCTTGGGAGGAGTACCAACTGTCTTGTCCTCCTTGGGGGCATCTGTTCTCTTGCGTTTAACCATGATTGCTCAAATAGTGAGTGTGGTTTGTATATTGTAGATGTGAAAGCTTGATCTAGAGGGCGGACAACTTTTTTTCTTGATTTTCTGCCGGCGGTTTATCGGCCGCCTTGATAGGAAATAGATGCCTGACCTAAATGCCTTCTAGCCTTAAACATAAGGCATTAAATTATGCCTGAGGCCTTACATACGCAAGCGGAGAACAATTCAATGACAGAAAAATAATACAGTGCGTTACCAGTTGATGAGGACAGCCTTTTTTCAAACACATAAGTTTTTGACAACCATATAAGAGCTCATTAATGTAAGAACTATTGTTACTTCCCTAAGTTGATAACACATCTTTATCTTTTTTTCTTCCATCAAAGAGAAATTCTTAAGAAGTACCAGGTACCTGGCCAAGCCGTGTATTTTTTATAGAGGGAGCGAGTAACTGGTTGTACCTAAAGCCAACATCCTTCCCGTTCTTCCACATTTTTTCATACCGCCCTGTAACCTCATTTTCACCCCCTTCGAAAAGATCCTGCTCTAGGTGCTTTTCATCGCCTCCTACCCTCCACCCATCTTTTTCATCTTTTTCGAGCGATTTTTTCCATCTGGATGACCTCGCTCGATCAGTTCCCCTTGTTCCCGCGTTAATCGGATGCTGCGTTCCGAAGCTAGACTCCATGCTCCGTGACGAGCTCCTACGATCTAAAAACGATGAGATCGCGTAAGTATTAATTTTTTTTCGCAACGGGAATTCGATTGGGATGCCTAAAAAATGATGAATTTGTCGCTAATTTGGTGGTTAGAAACTGTTTGTCGCGCAGAAAGCGCAAGCTCAGCGCATTGTATCTAGCCACGGTCGGGTTTGGCGCGACCGAGGACGCTCATTACCACCAGAAAGAACAGGCCTTTCTTGACGCCAATGATCTCTCCAAGTAAGTCCACTCACCTTGTTATTCTACTAGTGGAATTTACTCTGCATTTATTCATTTGGTTTTATAATTTCCTAATGCTGATTCCCTATCTAGAGGTCGTTATTTCAATGAGGCTACTCTTCCACCGCCAACCCATGCGCGCGCGCGCTCACCAAGTCAAAATGCAATTTCCCAGACCACAGCTTCCAGCGTCAGTGGTAAACCTGTCGCTGGGATCACTCCACCCTTAACCGTCGATGGCGGAGCTCTGCACGCGACCGAGCCTCAACAGCGCGACACACCCATTCTAGACCAACCTCGGACCGCGACGAATAATCTTCCCCCTACCCCCGTGGATACAACTGCAACACGTCGACCCTCAGTGCCAGCCATCAGCCCTAAGCTGCCAACGGATATCAACGGGCCACCGATCGCTGTCCAGTCACTCGACTCATTGCGCCCCGACCAAAAAGGTGGTGTGCCGGTAGTCGAAACGCCACTTAGTGCTCACGACCATGACGGAAATCAGGCAAAGATATCCCCCCCATGTGTCGAAGCCAGCTGCGACTGGAGTTCCATCACTGGAGATTCCCTCCGACCCTCTTCGAAAGAAACACGAAGCGCGACCCTCTCTTACCTTGGGATCATCTCAACACGAACAACCACCATCACCCGCCTCCTCCATTGACCCCTACAATAATAACACGCCTGTTCCAGTTGCCGCATCACCTGACACAAGCCCCGCAGAAGAGGTGACTGAGGATACTGAGACAATCGATCGCTCAAAACACAAGCATGACCGATCTGCCCATGCCCGGCCGAGTTTGGTTCCCTTGACCCCAGACGAGCAATTGCGCCTTGAAGAAGCTCAGTCGAAACCTGAGAAACCCGTTAATGATGTGATTGCCGACCTACCTACATCGAAGGAGGTGATTTTGGAGAGCGTGGACACCGGGGCCAATACAGATCGCATGGATATCGACCAGGAACCAGCCCCCGTCCCTTCCGAAGCGAAACCCCCCCAAGAAGCGGAGACGACTGTGCGGGACTCGTTATCGCCAACCGCACAAGCTGAAGCCGCTGCAGATTCAGCTGCAGATTCAGCCGTCGAGACTCCCACAGCCAAAAAGCTTTGTATCCCACCTACTCAACCTGGCTCAGCGCAACCGGAGCGCATGACCACTCGGGTATCATCCGGAGCTATCCGACACAAGTCTGTTTCCGAGATCCTCGGAGAAACCCCTAAGAGTGTCGCTCATGATAGAAGCCAGCCCGCTACTCCGTCTGATCAAGGCTCTCCTGATTCTGTCGCAAGAATGCGCTTTAAAGATCGGAAGGAGCGGGAGAAGGAGAGAAGCCGACTCTCGACTGTGGTGTTTCCTAAGCAGCCGGCTCAGCAGGAGAAAGCTGATATGGACTTGACGCACCGAGACATGGATGCGGTTGCCAAGCTGAACGAGGAGCAAGACTATCTTTTCACATTATTCTTGAACAGGGCGTACGCTCCTCCACGTGGAACGAACCTCAATACTCTGCTGGCCTCTGCGCACAAGACTTTGAGTACCAGCAATCATCTGCTTGAATACCAAGAACAGATGGATTGCCGTACTCTCCGGCGAATCTATGCCCTTCAAAATGCCAACCGATGGCCATTGCGACAATTAAAGCGCTCTGTTGAACCTCCCCGCCAGGGAACACATTGGGACGTTGTTTTAGATCACATGAAGTGGATGCGAACCGACTTCCGGGAAGAGAGAAAGTGGAAGATTGCTGCTGCAAAGAGTTGTGCCGATTGGTGCGCAGAATATGTTAACAGCGACGTGGAACATCGGACATTACTTCGTGTCCAAGTAAAGATTCCAACGTCAACTCTGGCAGAGAAGGATCCCTCTAAGGTGGGCCTCAGCCCACCATCCGACGACGTTGGTGATGAAGTGTTTGGTGTTTGTCATCCCACCCCGGAGCTCCTCCCATCGGCTGAGGAGGAATCAGTCAGTGATGGGTTCAACGATGAGCCTCGTCACGACATCCATGACACAGTTGCTCCCGCTGCTATTTTCTCCTTGGGCTCGGATGAATTCAACTTCTCACTTGACATGACCCCTGCCGCTGAAAAGCTGTTAGACGAACTGCCGATATATGGACCACTCCAGATCGCCCCCGGAACGAACACACCGGCATTCAAAGTGTCCCCTGACACAGTTTGGAAGACGGAACTACTACCCGTGTCCAAATTTGCATCGGCGAAGATTACCTTCCATGATGACGACCATCCTCGCAAGCGGAGCCGATATGACTACTCCCAGTACGGTGGTGATTCGGACAATCGGATCACCGAATTGGCACCTGAGCAGACAAACGTTGCGCTGTTTCGGCCAGAGAACAAGCCCATCCGCGATCGCATTCACCCTGGTCATCAGTTCCGGCCTCCGACTGAACACCCCATGCCATCCGTTGGTTTCTTTGAATCGCGTTCGTCCTCGCAATGGACTTACGCTGAGGATGATGAACTCCGACGCTTGGTCAAGGAGTACTCTTACAATTGGTCTCTAATTTCCAGTTGTCTTACCCCGTCATCACTGTTCACCTCTGGTGCCGAGAGACGAACCCCTTGGGAATGTTTCGAGCGATGGGTTGGACTGGAAGGTCTTCCTGCTGATATGTCTAAAACTCAGTACTTCCGGGCCTACCACCAGAGGCTCGAGACTGCCCAACGCACTGTTTTGGCCCAACAGCAGGCTGCCCAGCAACAGCAGCAGCAACAGCAGCAGCAACAAGGCGCCAACGCTCAGCCTCAGCCACCTGTCCGCCGGAGGACTACTCAGCCTCTTCGGGTTGACCGGAGACGATCTTCGAAGCATCTTGCTCTGCTTGATGCTATGCGAAAGTTGGCCAAGAAGCGGGAAACTATGCTTCAGAAACAGCAGCATGGTATGTTCGGAATAGAAAGAACATCTTGCGCGAAGAGCTCCACTGACATTTTATTTCTTAGCTTCCCACCTCGCTTCATTACGAAAGGCCAATGAGGCTAACCAGCCCAAGCCTCCGATCTCGTCCCCAGCTGAGTTCAGCAGGTTGAAGTACGATAGAGAGATGAAGCTGCAGGAAAGACAGGAACAGTACCGCCAGCAAATGATTGCGCAGCAAAGGGTGAGTGGTTGTTAACGTCCCTACTTGACAGCACTGTGGCTCATCCCCCATATAGGCTAGTCTCGCAGCGCAGCGTTCCGGCCAAGTACCTAACCAACAGCAAATGATGAATGCGCCGGGGCGTAACAACACCATGCCCCCCCACTTCCAATCCTAGTCTACCAGGTGGAACTCCGAACGGAATGACCAACGGCATGCCTCCTAGTGCCGGTGTCAATCAAGCCCGCCCGCTTCCGATGCAGAACATGCCTAATGGTGCACAGCCCAATGGCCAGATGCCTAATGGAATGGCCATGAAGATGATGCCGCAAGCTCAAATGCAACAGACACCAGGGGCACGACCGGGCCTGCCAATGCAAGCCTCCCCTGATAACACGCGCGTGATTCGAGAAGCCAATCGATTGCAGGAGCAGCAGCGTCTTCTCCAGTCTCGGCAACAGCAGCCGCACCCCCTCAGCAGGGTCAGCAATTCCACAACCCGCAATTTGCGTCTCAGGGGTCGCCGAACCTGAACATGGCGAATGTTAACGGTACTCCTAATAACCCTGCTATGATGGCTGCCCTTCAGAACCAAGGGGGAATGCAGAGTCCGTCGTTCCACGGTAGTACACCACAAGGCGTCTCGACCCCCTCGCCTCGTATGGGCCAACCCAACCCTCTTTCGAGCGGTGTTGTGCCCCAAATCAGCACCCTCCAAAGCCAGATTCAACGCACGAACCCGAATATGCCCCCCGAGCAAGTGACGAAGATGGCCACAGATCGACTAAACCAGTATCAACAGCAGCAGCAACAACAGCGCTTGTCCCAACAAGCAGCGATGAATGCTGCTGCAGGTAGCATCAATGCAAATGCCGTTCAGGCTAACTACCAAGTTCCCCACGAGGCTAGTTTCCAGACTCCGAACGGCGGTTCTGCAATGCAGGTCCCTCAGAATCAAGGGTTCTCCCCAATGATGCGGGTCCCCCAGGCCGGTCAGCAAAACCGCGTTGGGCCGACTAGCTCGCCCGCCATGAACGGTGCTGCACCCCTACCTAGTCGTAGCGCCACTCCTCAAAACCAGCGCAGCGGTAGTGCCCAAGCTGGCGCCGTTCAAGGTTCCAGCAAGAGCCCGCACGCTCCGGCAGCCCAGACCGCGACCAGCTAGGAGCTTACTCAACATGCCCCCCTTCTCCCCTGCAATACCTTTGCGAATCTATTTCTCCTCCTCACTTTACGTTCGTCTGTACATACTTACACCAACCCTTATGCTGATTTATTTTTTACACTTTGTTCTTCACCGTTGACTCGGCTTCTCGCGCTACAACTACACCTACACCTACCCCATTTGTTGACTCTACCACATGTGTGCTCTTTTATTTTTATTTTTTATTTTGGCTTGTTGAAAAATGATGTTCATCATTTATTTGACCTTGATATGCACTGGCTCTTTTTACACCAGTGCTGCTCTGAATTCTGAGCTTGGGCTTGTATCATTGGGAATAGGCGAAACTGGGACGGACGGATTATTCTAGGAATTGAAATGAATTGTATGATTAGTTTGAAGGTTGTGTTTCATGGGATTTCTGTGTAGTGGCATAGTTGCATAGTTGCATACTTCAAATGTTATCTTCTATTCAAGTGAGGATAATAGACAGAAAATAAGAAAAGCAGAGCTTTATTGTATTTGTCTCTTCTAGCTACTCTCAATCTTGGAATTTGAGACAACCTAGCCAAATAGCTACCTCTTAAGGATTCCTGAAAACTGTAACATCAATACTCCAAACGAAAGCGAAATTATACTAGACGCAACTGACTGACCGTTGGCAATCAGTTCACTTTCCTTGTCTGACCAACGACCAATCTAGTGCCCGAGGTGGGCTGTGAACCTTTTTGTGCTTTTTGTGCTTTTTGGCACACTTTGGTTTCTCCTTTTCATACCTCAGCCAGCCAGACACCGGCTGAATTGAGTCAAGTCTAGTCTCCCCAGTGGGAATGACTGGGTTACAGGGCATCGTTTGGTAGTAATCGTCCACGAAATATGCAAGCCTTCGCTCATAACTATGGTCTCCAGAACCATCTAGCATTGCTCCACTCGAGGTGGCCTGTATGCCAATCAACCCGGCCAACATCATAGCGTTGAATGTGTGCCCCATATTATTAACTATAACCGGAGCAGATACATAGCCCAGAGGGACTTTATCCGTGTTTATACGGCGTGACAAAGCCTGGTCACGCCTGAACTCAGTATTCCGTGCCTGAAAACCTCGCGAGCATTGCGGAAGAATTGCTTCTGGACACAGCAGCTTTCCATCATTACCCCAGAAACAAAAGACCGATATCCAGCCAGTCAGATAGGTTGGTCCACTTGTCCCGCCTCTCCTGTCAGCACATTTGCTCCAGAAACCCAATGTATCTAGTGATTCAGGATTGTCGAAGGAAGCGACAAAGTTGTTGAGAATCGTCCGAAGAAGCTGGGTAAACCGAACAGGTTCATCTCCCAGATGAGCTAGCTGAGCAAGTTTTGTCACCATAAGTGCCCAGTCCTCACGGTTACCGAGCAAAGTGACAGACAGAATTCCACACCTTGAAACAAATTCGTAGGAGAAATACTTCTGCATAGCGCCCATCATTATACTCGTTGCTACCACTTTGTCAGATGAAGTCGTAGTGCTAAAGGCCGGCATAATCCAGTCCCGCAGGTCCGGTTTCACCACACGCTTTTCCATAATTTTAGACGTTGTTAGTGCCATTTTACCAATGCCCACAGTGTCCAGGGTCTCGTTTGTGGAAACCTCCAGGTGTACTGTGCCCTTATGTGAGACGAATAGATGTCGCAGTTCCTCGGAGTGTGCAATAACGAAGATACTGAGCTGTGACAGAATGGTGAACCATACATCTTCGGGCCGGAGTACAAGGTTGTGGTGATGACTATAGGCGTGGAACACGGCCCAGACAAAGCCATTTTCGGATGCGGAGATGTAAGATGTGTCGAAGAGATCTTCAGTGAATGACTTCCCAATCAGCATTTTGCTACCAATATGCAAGATTGTTCAAAAAGCTCTTCGGCCTTGGCTACCCCCTGGGATTTCCATGCACGCGGTGGATGCTTGGCTGTGGTGAGAGTGATAGGCATGTTGTTGTGGGAAAGGATGAACAGCGTTGAAAGCGAAATAGAATGAGCGAGTGCGAGAGAAAGATAGGATTTCGTTTGAGAGAATTTCGAACGTAGGAATCAAAGAGAGAAAGTAAAATTAAGAAGAGTGTTGTTGGGTGCTGTCGAGAGAGTTGTCGAGAGAGAATAGAAGAGGGAATAGAAGAGAGAATAGAAGAGGGAATAGAAGAGAGAATAGAAGAGAGAATGAAGATGACTCTTAAAGGGCTTAGTACATAAGAAAGATACCATGAACATCTTGTGCTTGAACCTCAGAACCTCAAAGCTTATTCTTTATGTTCTTTACCTAATGTGCACAGGTATCTCGTTGATATACCATCACTGTTACATATTGCCTAAGATATCAGCAAATATCAGCAAATATGAAAAATTTCTGTTCTGAAGATAAGGAAAGAAAACAAAACAAAAAGAAATAGGAAAGCTCAATATACACATCCATCATTACTCAAGTATAATCACTAGGCAAGCCACTGGGCCATCTCAGGCTCATTTAAAGGTACATCAGAATGCCTATCTCCCGTACCAGTCTTGGTCAGGCGATGAGCCTTCTTAATAAGCCGACCCGGATGATAGATGATCAATACCAACATGGTAAAAAACATCAAAAATGCATCAAACACATAGATATAGGCCTCCTTCGTATTGACATCGGTTTTTTGACCGGCTCCAAATTGAATAGTCCGTACCAGGTTGCGAACTATCAATGCAAAGCAAGAAATGTAGATTGCCCACATGTATCGCTGCCAGGGTAGATCGGGATTCTGATTGAGAAAGGCCGTAGGCGTTTGTAAGAGACGTCGATGGAATTTGGCCGCTATCAGAATGAAAAAGGCAAAGACAACCAAGGAGAAGATCAAGCCAGCCAAAACGACCTTTTTGCCAATGCTCATCACCTTCTCGTCTCCTGTCACTTGGACACCCGCACCCCCCAATTGTGTACAGAAGCAGAGCACATCGTTCATAACGAAGACAAAGGTAAGCCATTTGGGGCGCATGCTTGAAAGATGTTCGGCGCCAAAGGAGCGGATAATGCGGCCGAGGACCATATAGACGGTGGCTGCCACAAGGGGTGGTGCGCATAGAATGAGCATCTCCTGCAAGGCCCATGACTTGATCTCGAATCGAGACTCGTGTGACCATGCTCGGCCGTAGTACCCGAATGTCTCGCCTGGTTTCGTTCATCATCAGCCCTAATGTTTTTCCTCTTGTGGATGGGAAGTATTATCATACAAATTCCTCCTAGTACCAATGGAATAAAATAGGTAGCACGGAAGGGGAACATCAACACGATATGGACAAGGGTTGAAACCGCAAAGATGCCCATAAATGCATACCCAGCCGTGGCAGATGGCGTGTAGGGATAGAACTCTACCCAAGGATCAGTGCCATTTTGACCGGGGTGAAAAATGATATCCATGTTAACAATGTGAATAAGAGTGCAGTGTGTTCATTTGAAGAAAAAAGTTGAGATTTAGGGACTTATAAAGATCTAATCTGTTGCACCTCTAGGGCTATTCCTAGATTCCCAATCGGGGAATTTCTGAACGAATACGCCCTGATGTGGGGCATGTCCCCGGTCCACTTTGGATTATGCTTCTTTGGCCCTATTAAGCTTGTCTGTTCGGCATATTTTTAGAAATACCACTATCGCTTTGGCGAGAGAGAGAGAAAAAAAACCAGCGACTGATCTATGGGTGCTCTAATAATCTATAGTAAATCCGTGGATATCTTGAAACAAACCCTACTTATAGTCCCGAAACGAGTGGATTGCAAAACGGGACCGTGGAGTACATATGTAGTCTAATATTGCACTTGTCTCTTGCCACACTGTAGTTCATTGCTCTATTTGAATTTAGAAGTGATCTTCACAAATTTAGGACTGGGAGTCGAAGAGGGAAATTTAATTATGACATCGGGAGTACGGTCAAATTTCCTGACTAGGACCAGATCATTCTGATGATCACCATCACTTCCTTGTATAAAAAGTAGCTGCCTAGAAGTGTAGCCTGTTGTATTTGGCTGCTTTGGATGAGTGGAAATATGATATCAATAAAGGTCTTTCATTAATCGTCATCATTCTTCTACCCTCATTCAAGCCCCCCGGCGTTTAGTGTACAAATCAGATGGACAAGACAACAATGGAAGTGGAACCATAAAAGAAAGAAATCTTGAGAAATCAAAGTGTCCTCGGAAAATTCTTCGGACAAAGAGCTATCTCTGTGAAAAGGTTCCCGAAAATCAATCTCCAAGGAGATGAGAACAGCCCTAACCCCTTCCAAAAGGGAAGGCTTACCCAGCAACGATACCGCTTTCTTAATTTGCTATATCATGGATATTTAACCAGCAGAATCAGACACTTTTGCTCTGGCGGTGAGCTGGGTGGGGCTATAAGGGGTTAAGAACTAGTGTCTACTGACTGTACTCCGTAGGCTCTAGCTCCTATGAATGAAGACTACTCCGTACTACTTGCCACATTCATACTTTATCTGTGACACTCAACGATTGATAGGCTGGTCAACCTAGACATAATTGCTAACGATCAACTGCGCTATTACAGTCTTGCCCTGGGCAAGAACATGGAGATGCTCCGCCGGAGACGTGCGGAACCATCGGGACCATCGACCCCGTCTCTATTTATACACCATAGTACGGAGTACATGGTATGATACACCGTCAACGGGGCATTGTGTGGAACATCAACATGATCAACCGGAGAGGAGAGACTACCTAAGGATCTAGGTACTCTGCGGCGCTTATAAACAAGACCGCTAAGCTTTATGGTTGAAGTCTTTAGCCGATGTCGTCTATATATACACATTCTTGACATAGCAATTCCTGAAGTTCAGAAGTCCACACTCTGTGGAATTAGGGGCTGCTTACTCTGTATAGTCACAAAAATTAAGGGATGAAAATTCGATCGATGCTAAACCGAAAGTGGAAATAGTGTTTTGGAATTGCCGTTAGCGCTAACACTTAATCAAGACTATACGTTTCAGATCACTTAACGCGAAACGCTCTACGGAGTACTGGGCCCTTCTAACTCTTCATTCACCTCGAAAGCCTCCACCCAAGCTTCAACCAGGGCTCTCTATACGCTCCCGCAAATCCTCACTATATACCAACCCCATGGCGGCTTGGCTCAGGTTTCAGAAGAACAGCCCAATACCATAAGGCTGGGACATTGTCTACACTCAGGGGGTTGTATATATATAGTTAGAATCCGATGTGAATTTGCATTTCCCCCAACCCTTCCTTTCATTTTTTTCTTTTCATTCCTTTATTTTATAATTCATTCGTTTCAATATGTACTTTTCTTCAGCGATCGCAATCGGCCTGGCGCCATTGCTCGCAAACGCCTACCTCAGCGGTTCCGTCGGCCCAACAACCACTGTCGCCTCTAAATCTGCCAACAAAATTTGCAATGTACTGGACTACGGCGCTGTAGCAGACAAATCGACCGATATCGGCGCAGCCATCACCTCCGCCTGGGCAGACTGCAGGAACGGTGGTGTGGTCTACATCCCGTCTGGCGACTACGCCTTCGAGTCCTGGGTGACTCTGTCAGGTGGACAGAGCTGTGCTATCCAATTAGACGGTATCCTCTATCGGACTGGTACCGATGATGGAAACATGATCATGGTCAAGCATACCAAAGACTTTGAACTGTTTAGTTCTACCTCTAAGGGTGCCGTGCAGGGGTATGGCTATGAATACCACAAGAAGGGATCAAGCAGTGGAGCGCGAATTCTGAGACTGTATGATGTGACCGACTTTTCGGTTCACGATATTGCTCTTGTTGATGCGCCTGCTTTCCATTTCTCCTTGGATACTTGTGTGAATGGTGAGGTTTATAACCTTGCTATTCGTGGCGGTGACAAGGGTGGATTGGATGGACTTGATGTTTGGTCGACTAATATTTGGATTCACGATGTCAGTTGCTTGTTCTGCTGTTATGGAGAGTAGTTGCTAACACCAAATAGGTCGAGGTCACCAACAAGGATGAGTGTGTTACTGTCAAGGTATATGGCTTTGAAGAACCCCAGAAAACAGAGTATGGCTAACAATAAGACAGAGTCCCGCCAAGAACATCCTCGTCGAGAATATCTACTGCAACTGGAGTGGTGGTTGTGCCATGGGATCACTCGGCACCGACGTCGAGATCAGTGACATCACCTACCGCAACGTCTACACCTGGAAGTCAAACCAGATGTACATGGTCAAGAGCAACGGCGGCAGCGGTAATGTCGAGAACCTCATCCTCGAGAATTTCATCGGTAAGCACTACACCATTCATCACCTATCTCCCTAGCACATCCACTAACCGACCAGGCCACGGCAATGCCTACTCCCTCGACATCGACAGCGCCTGGAGCAGCATGAAAAAGGTATCCGGCGATGGTGTCCAACTCAACAATGTCACAATCAGAAACTGGAAAGGAACCGAAGCAAACGGCGCCCAGCGCGGCCCCATCAAAGTGAAGTGTGCGGATGGCGCACCCTGCACAGACGTCACCATCGAGGATTTCGCCATGTGGACTGAGTCTGGCTCTTACCAGTGGTACAACTGTGAGAGTGCATATGGCTCCGGTGCGTGCCTGAGGGATGGTGATAAGCACACTGCGTATACGACCACTCAGACTGTCAAGTCTGCTCCTTCTGGATACTCCGCTCCAACTATGGCTTCTGATCTGGCGACGGCGTTTGGTACAGTGTCGCAGATTCCTATTCCTGCTATCCCGACTTCTTTCTACCCTGGTGCAACCCCTGTTAGCGCGTTGGCTGGTGCTAAGGCCACTTCGTCTTAGGTTACAGTGGGATCTGAGCTGCTTGTGTATAATGTAGTATGCTTGGGATTAGGTCTTAGATTTTCTGATCAGCTGCTATATAGAAATATACGCCCGTAAACCACCTCAAACCATCTCCTCTACATAATAATCTATGAGTAGGAGTGTCCAGGGGCTCAATTTGACTCTGTAAAGGGGGTAAGGGGTGAACGGTCTCGTATGCCAGGCTTTATCCGGTACATACGACATGGCTCTGGTTCTGTATGGTTAGTAAATTGGTCTCAAATATTCACCACCCAATTTTCGTTTGTTTACTGAACGATGTTATTACTATGGCTGAAAGCGATTGGGAACCTATATCGATCGAGCTGATCGACGAGACTGTGATGGGCTTGAAGTATTAGAGACCGGAGAACGATTTGACTATTAGGCAAGTGGAGGCGGCCGACGCGGTGACAGCGCTGTTAGGGCACCCGACCATCCTCCTTAGACTGCGACATCGCCCATGGACGGGCGGGTGGGCAGTGCCCACGGGCCTTATGTAAGCGGGCGATGGGCACTATCAATACGCCCATGGACGGGCCCTACCCTTAGGGCCCATTGTCCATGGACACCGTGGGCGCCCGTGGGCCTTTTTAGTAAGCAAAATTAGCGCAACACGTGATTTTAATTGACAGATTTCAAAATATTTCAACTAAATTTATATTTTTTATATATTTACAATCATAATTCCGGATTTTTAATAAGATATATATAAATATATATACTATAATTTACTATATATCTAATTTTTATATATATTTAAGACAACTTTATATAATGGTGGGCATCGTGGGCATGCCCGCCGTGGGCATGCCCGTGGGCCTTGGGCGTTATGGACGGGCACTCGAAAATCCAAATAGCCCAAGGCCCACCGTGGACGGGCGATGGGCACCTCCTAGGTGCCCATGGACGGGCGATGTCGCAGTCTAATCCTCCTAGTATACCCATGTTTTTATGGGATTCTTCTATATTAGACTCGCTAGTGGCATTCCTAGCTAATAGAGAGCAACTGAGAACGGTGAAAGATCCGTTATATCGACTATGACCGTGTAAGTGAATAGACTAAGGAACGGAGGGTAATGAGTTACTTACTATATCGGATAGGACGAGTGATTTCCGGGTAACCGATGGGCGAGCCAGCCCTCTATATACTCCAAATAAACCACTCCCCTATACGTATCGCATTGCAGTATGATAGAGATATCGCTCTCTTCCTCGAAGCAAATAGGACACTTCTCACCCTCTAGACTAGACCCTTAGTAGAATTTGTAGAGCTAAATAGAGTGAACTCTACCGTATTCATTACCGATAGATAGGACGGCCGGGTCATTAGGTGAAACGTCTGAGGGGACCTTATTCGTCGTAAGTATATAAAATGTGACATCCCGACCAGGAGGCTGAGATGAATCTATCCTTATAGGTGTAGAAAACTTAAGATGGTCGATCTTATCAATATCCTATATCAAAGTATAGAGAGCTTCTACCTCGAGAGGTCTTTATAACCTTTCTTACGAGCCACTGAATCTCGCTATGGATGGTGAGAAGCCACGGTATAAAGATATCTGCGCCTAGGTCTAGTTACGCACGGCTGCGTCGAACCACCGCTGTTTAACATCGCTCTGCTGACGGCTTCGATGCCAATTCTTATAGAGGAAAAGGAAGACAATGCTATTCAGTTCAGAGTCGAGTGTTAAAAGGTCGAACGGGCTCCGCGCAAGGTTATTTGACGTTTACCGACCCTCTTTCAGGGTCTCTTTCTTTATAACGAGCTTACAAGTATCTCCTTTTCTTTTGGTACTGCCGTGATATGTCTTTTCTTCCTAGAGAGGTCCTATCTGGCAGATATATAAGGGGCCCCAAAGCCACTAGGGGTGTGACATTCTGGACTGGAACGAATATAGGAGAAAAGAGAAACGTTCTAGCCGTTCAGAGAATCTTGATGTGTAATGGTGGTATAGAAGTTGAAAAGCATGCCGGTTTGAAGGTTTAGTTGAGCCTTTATAGTAATCGCATACTCGCTTGATTATATGTAGGGTCATAGTAGACGTGTAGGGTTAAGAATACCCCTGGTAGAGACTGCTTTGGATCGATGCTATGTGGAATAAGATGGGCAAGATTGAGGAAATTGCCGCGTGTGATATCTTCCTGTTGCTTTTATCACTATCTGATATCTAATATGTCTAAAAAATCCGAAATAGTTCTTGCTCTAAGCAATTTGGTCTATGAGATAGAAGCCACCCCCAATAACCACCAACCATAACAATGAAGAAAAGGCTCTATCCTGAGCTTCCAAGAGATGATAAAGTCTGACCAAGAATCTAGACCTATACTCTGTCTCATTGGCTGAAGTCATTGCTGTCCTTAAATCGAACCCATTCAATGCTGGTGCCTGACACATTTCCAATTCATCGATATAAGCTGGTAGTCCCGCGATCCTGTGAAAGTTAGCGCTGTTGACTTATATATAGGAGTGTAATTCTTGTACCATGCTGGCTCATCACAGGTTTCATTATTCCCTCGAGTCTCCCAAGATTTGGCGCTGGGGTAAAGGGTCTGATACCAAGGGTTGGCAACTTTTTCCCTCCAAGCAGTCTCCGCTTCCTTCGTAGCTTCACAGGATGTTTTAGAGAGTGATCGCAGGCTGATCAACGTGTTTGATAACCAGTCTACTTGGGCTTGGATAACTGCGGGTGCATTCACTCTTACGGTGGCAGACTGAGGACCATAGAGATAAAAGAGATTCGGGAATCCATGCGTTGCCAACCCCAGATGAGAGCGCACACCTTGACTCCACGCCGACTTGAGTGTAATGCTGTTCTTGCCCTGGATATTTATCCGCGTTAGGGTGTTGGTCCGAGCCTCGAAGCCTGTTGCCCAGATTATATAGTCGAAGGCTCGGTGGGCCCTGGCATCCTGAATCCCGTTTTCGGTGATCTCCACTATTGGCATTGTGCTAACATCGACCAGCTCGACATTATCCTGATTGAAAACTTCGTAATAGCCGGATTGTAGACACGGCCTTTTTATCCCAATAGGATACGTTGGCTTTAGAGGAATGAGTAAATCCTTCAATCTTGGATCGTCGATTCTTTCTCTCATCCTCTCAGCCCAAAAGCTATACATGTCGGAATTTGCCTTGAGGTCGTATAATGAATCCTCAAAAGTGGAGAGCAAAAAAGACCAGTTACCCTCCTTCAAAAGTCGCGAGTAAAGGGTATGGCGTTCGTTATCCGGTACATCCATAGTTCGTTCGGACCGAAAAGAAAATGGAAATGCAGAATGATATGTGCTGGATGCTTCTACAAGCTTCTTTGCATATTTCTTATCTGTCCATGCCGTTTTATCCGTGTTTTCATCTTTGGGAAGCCCAACCACAGGGGACCGTTGGTATACGGTCAGATGTTGAACTTGTGAGGCAAGTTCCTGGATAACCTGAGTGGCAGAGGCACCAGTTCCAATCACTGCTACCCTTGCATTCTTCCAGTCAATGGGCTTATCTGGCCATTCGGCCGTATGGCACATTTTTCCCTGGAAGCGATCCAGCCCAGGGAGGTTGGGGAGAGACGAGAAAGACGCAAACCCTACCGCACATACTAGCCATCTAGTTAGCAGCACTCGTCCATCAGACAGAAAGACATGCCACTGGTGAGACGACGAATCCCAACTAGCCGCATTGACTGAAGTTGAGAATGTATAATGTTGGCTGATCTTCCATTGACTGTCGACATATTCAAAGTAGGCCAGAATTTCGGACTGCTCAGGAAACGATTCACTCCAGGTCCACCCATCAATGAGCATTTCGTCAAAGAATTGATAGTATGGCTGCGGGCTGTCTGCCCGAGCCCCTGGGTAGCGGTTTGTATACCAAACCCCTCCAAGGCTAGGTGACTTTTCGATTCCATGGACTCGAAACCCTTGTTGGCGTAGCCTGAAAATGTAAGAATGACTTCGCAGATACTGCCGAATTGGCACGAATAAGTAATAAATACTGACTTGTGTAATGCCCAAATGCCAGAAAATCCCCCTCCTACAACAATGACATCGTATTTCGAACTCATATTCGCAGGACAGCCGCCTGGCAAATACAACTGGCGCGCAAGATTAGGTAGTCCCTAATTTGTCTTTGAGTGCCCGAGGTGTGCTACCTCGGTATGACATACCTAGGTACCCTAAGTAGGATATGAGATAGGATGCAGACTTCTTTTCAGTACCAATGAATTTGTCATCAGCTGCAATATCCATGGATATAGTTACACAAATGGGCGCCCTTACGGGGTTATGGAAAACAAGAGTAGCATTTGGATTCTCTTAGTCAACTTTATGACCAATTGGTGTTAGGGCGCAGGTAGTCGTGTTTACGTTTTTTAATTGGTACATAAAATTTTGATAAAACGTTCTGCTGCGCTCTGGAATTTGAGTGTAATGAGATCGGCACTGTGGAGCTCTTTTAGTCTGCAGGATTATATCGCAGATCGTGCTTGAGATCGGCACTGTGGAGCTCTTTTAGTCTGCACGATTATATCGCAGATCGTGCTTGAGATCGGTGGGAATCCCCTCCATGCAAGAAGTAAGGACTGAAAATTACGAAGGTCTTTCGCCAGCAGCATTGCAATCAAATCTAATAATCGCGGTGAATAGAAAGAGAAAAAGTTAGATAATAGAATGAGCTATCAATATACCAATCTACTTTAGGGACCATGTCGAGAGTGACGTGTCTATTGGCTCGATCCATCTTAGAAGATATGCGGTAACTAGCTAGTTAGGTTAGTTAGTTAATAACTAGAAAGACCACATATGAGTTTAGTACAGCTGCATGGTGAGCAAATCATGGCTTAGTGGTAGTAGATAGTAGTATCAGCTGGTGAACCACATGACGTACTAAACCGAATGATGCTATAGGCATAGATCAAGTCAAAAAAATGAGGTTTCCCTCCTTGAGATTTCTTTTTTTTTACATTGCTTATTCCTTGACATACCGAAATCCTGAACCATGATAGAATTACTCTGGGAGTGGATGCTCCAACACTCAACAATAACGAGGCTATCAGTCCTGGTATTCCTTTTTGCCCTTGATACAATGCTTGAGTTTGTCAACTGATATTTTTAATCAAGATCATCATTGTCCTCTATCTCTACGTGGTAATCACGGTGGTGTACCGGTTATGTTTTCACCCTCTTCGCAAGTTTCCTGGACCAAAGCTTGCGGCTGCGACGTTTTTATATGAGCTGCGCTTCAACTATGACGGAACATTTATTTGGAAGCTTGAACGTCTTCACAATCAATATGGTGAGTTTCTCACCTCTTTCAGCGTTCCAGCTAATAATGAAAGGTCCAATTGTCCGCATTACACCAAATGAGTTGCATATCAAAGATGCTTCATTCTATGATGAAATTTATGCCGGTAGTGGACGTATTCGCAATAAAGATGAGCGTTTTGTCAAGACATTCTCAGCACCTCATGCAATGGTGTCCATCACAGATCATGCCTATCATCGCGTGCGTCGTGGCCTGTTGGGAGAATTCTTCTCACAGAGATCTGTGATAAAGATGGAGCCTATTATCAATGGCGCTATTGAAAAGCTCTCTCAGCGGCTTCATGAGGCATGCCAGACAGGAGCAGTAATCAACATGGACGCTGCGTTTGCTGCCATGACAGCCGATGTGATCACGCGCCATGCCTGGGGTCAAAGTGGTAATTATCTAGACCATGGAAACTTTAACAAACAGTGGAAAGATGCCGTGGCGGGGACTATGGCCAGCCGTGTCTTGTTCCGTCATTTCCCTTACATGTTGCATATCCTCATGGCTGTTCCGTTACCTATTCTTCTGAAGCTGGACCCGGGAGTGGCAGATATTCTTAAGATCGAGGGCCTAGTTCGTCGACTCTCGGTAGAGAATGTCAACCGTGGTATAGTCGAGAAACAGGAGGGAAAAACTATCTTTGATGCCCTTAATAACGTTAGCGTGCCTCCGGAACAGCGAACCGCGAAACATCTAATTGACGAAGGACATATCCTCCTGCTAGCCGGAACAGAAACGACTGCCAAGGCTCTCAGTACATGCCTCTGTTATTTACTGTTGGCCGAGAATAAGAATGTTCTTCTCGCCTTACAATCAGAGCTCCGACAAGCTTTTCCTAACGTTTCGACCTGGCCAAAATGGACAGAAGCCCAGAAGCTTCCATACCTTGTATGTTGATCCCTCTTTCATCCCTGTGATATACTAAAAATTACTTGTCTTTACAGACCGCGGTCATTAATGAGTGTCTTCGCCTGTCTCATGGACTGAGCACTCGCCTACCCCGGACTGCACCAAAGGAGTCTTTACAATATAAACAGTGGCATATTCCAGCAGCAGTGAGTTTTGCCATGACTCAAACGAATTGATTATATCCCTGACGATAATCCGTTAGACCCCCGTGAGCCAGACCGCATACTTTGTTCATATGGACCCATCTATATTCCCAGATCCTGAAAGGTTTGAACCTGAACGCTGGATAAGAGCTTCAAAAGAAGGCCTCCATTTAGAAAGATACATTGTCTCTTTCTCCAAGGGAAGTCGGCAGTGCCTTGGCATCAAGTATGTATGATAGCTTGAATCTGACGAATTGGTTGCTGACGACACCTAGCATGGCCTATGCCGAGATATTCCTCGCCCTTACTCATATCATGCGTAATTTTGAATTTCAACTACATGATACTTCGGTTGATGACGTTCGTCTCTTTCGCGATCGTTTCTTTGGCGCGGCGCAGGACGGTTCAGTAGGGGTGCGTGTCCTTGTGAACGAGGTGAAGTACTGAAGAGCCTTCGCGGCTGTCTATCAATAACGGCATTGCCCAAAATGTCAAAAATGATTTGAATCTGGAGGTGGAACTTGATTACCAATCTGTCGTTACGGATAATGCATCTAAATGAATAGTTATTTAACTGTGTGGTTATACACTTGCCTTTGGTTGTGGACGCATAGCGATGAAATAAATTAGACTACGGAATATGATAGAGAAGAATAATCCCTAATGCATGAAATCTTCTTCACCGACAAATACACTTTAAGCACATCGATGTGTCTGATATTAAATTTCAGGTAGCACGAGTAAACTGCAGTATGTGGCTGTCCAGGTAGATACATCCAACTAATATCAGACGCAAGGATGCGTGATGCACATTTGGCAATTGTAAGTTCTCAGCTGCGTACATTTGGAATATAACTGAAAATTAATTTAATCGGTAAACAACGAAGCCAGATATTACGTCCGCGTATTTGTTCACCGACGTGAATATCTCATTCGAACGCAAGGTTTCGCAAGCCACATCCATATATCTCAGCTTAAAAAATGGCGAACGATGGCATTAATGCACCTTTACATAAGGTGAGAGAAAGCGAGCGAAGAACAAAAAAAAGCAATATCATAGCTAGGTAATATATAACATCTTAGTTAACATAAGAATTCAACCTTTAAACTATAAACTTTTAAGATTGCAACCACAAAACAATACCACACTGAAAATTACCGACATGGGAGATGCACCAATTCAGCCGCAAACTCCAGCAATTGCTGTTGTTGGGATGGCATGCCGACTTCCTGGCAGCAACAATTCAATACATGCTTTCTGGAACTTCCTAAAGCAGGCTCGCCAGGCTTCTAATACGGTTCCAGAATCTCGCTTTAACGTTGGAGCGCATGCCGATGGCTCAGGAAAACCTAAGACTATGACATCTGTCCCTGGTATGTTTCTGGAGGATATTGACATTGGAGCCTTTGATGCAGGATTCTTCAATATTTCGCCAGCAGAGGCTATGGCTATGGATCCACAGCAACGTCAACTCTTGGAAGTGGCCTACGAGTGTCTCGAAAATTCGGGCATTTCAGTGGACGCGATTTTTGGACGGGAGATGGGTTGCTTCGTAGGATCATTTGTCGGAGGTGCGGACGAGAATCCATCTGTACAAACAACTAGGCGAGAAGAGAAAATTGACCAATATGCTAGACTACGCTGATATGATGGCGCGCGACCCTGAGGAGCGACCAACAACAGCAGCAACAGGGATTGGCAGGGCGATCTTGAGTAATCGGATCAGTCACTTTTTCAATCTCAAAGGGCCCAGCATGACGATTGATACGGGATGCTCGGGCAGTCTTGTGGCAGTCGATTTAGCTTGTCGATACCTCGAAGCAGGTGATATTGAATCTGCATTTGTCGCTGGGGTGAATTTGAATATGAGGAAAGTTGCCCAAATATTGAATCTTATTTTCAATTGCTAACATGATACCGTACAGTCCGGAATTCTTCATGGATGGTAGGCGTCGCGTGACATCCTAGCAATAGCTTCACTGACAGTATCTTGTTAAATTATAGAAGGTTCCATGGGAGCCACTATGACACAATCCGGACGATGTCATTCATTTGATGTCAGAGCAGATGGCTACGCCAAATCAGAAGGTGTCAATTGTGTCATGCTCAAAAATCTTGATTCTGCTATCCGGGACGGTGATCCTATTCGTGCTGTCATCCGCGGCTGGGCCACCAATAGCGATGGTTATACCCCTGGAATCACCCATCCTAGTGTGGATGCACAGGTAGCATGCATCAAAAGAGCATATGCTAAAGCTGGCATTGAAGACTACAGTCAAACTGGATATCTTGAATGCCACGGTACAGGAACCCCGGTAAATGCTCAGCAGTACGGGAACTGAACGCCAATATTAACATCTGTGTAGATTGGTGATGCCGTTGAGACCACTGCTATAGCAAATGTGTTTGCTCAATCACGGGATGACAGTCGACCATTGATAATTGGCTCAGTTCGTCTAACAATATCTTGACTGAAAACAAATCGCTGATTTCCACAGGTGAAAAGCAATATTGGCCACTCTGAAGCAGCATCTGGACTCTCGGGGTTGATTAAATCCGTCATGGCCATTGAAAATGGTGTAATTCCTGGAACACCATCCTTTATCACGCCAAATCCAAACAGTACGTATGATGAAAATGAAATGTTCAGATATCCACATGCTGATCATGTGTTACCAGTAAATTTCCAGGCTTTGCGTCTCCACGTCAGTCAAACATCTATCCCATGGCCATTGAACACCATTCGTCGAGCCAGCATTAACTCCTTTGGATATGGTGGAACAAACTGCCACTTAATTGTAGAAGATGCCCGCTTGCATCTTGGTGTCGAGCAGAATGAGACTTACAATTCATCATTGTGCTCCAGCACCAGTCTTTCCCTTGACGAGGATGATCCTAGGGATGTTGTATACCCTAGGCCATACATCATTGTTCTATCTGCTGTGGATGATGATTCATTGACAATCAATTGCAAAAAATTGTTGAGGCACCTTGCTGACTTGCACGTGCATCTCAAGCTGCCTGATCTCAGCTATACACTTGCAACTCGTCGGAGTCATCATTCAAAACGCGCATTTGCCGTATCTAACTCACTGAATTTACATGCTCGTGATTTTATGCGGGGACAGAAACAGTTTGAGAACCCACGCATTGGATTCATCTTCACTGGACAGGGAAGTCAATGGCCGCAAATGGGGAAGGACCTTGTTCGAACCTTTCCTAGGGCACTTGAAATCATCAGTGAAATGGACGCGGTCTTACAAGGACTTCCAGACGCACCAACATGGTCTCTTCTTGGTATTTTCATCCGAATATAGCTTATGAAATGGCATAAATACTGATTCAACACAGACATGCTCGTCGAGCCACATGATGCAAGCCGCATTCGCCAACCTGAAATTTCACAACCGCTAGTGACTGCAATCCAGCTGACTCTAGTGGCACTTCTAGAGGACTGGAACATCTTTCCTGACAATGTTATTGGGCATTCGTCAGGGGAAATAGCAGCTGCGTATGCCGCAGGATACATCAGCAAAGAAGACGCAATCATCAATGCGTTTTATCGTGGGCACGCGGCCAAAGTGGCATCTGATTCGAACCTCTCTGTAGGAATGATGGCGGTTGGGCTTGGCAAAGACGAGATCCGGCCCCATTTGGAGGATCTGGCTGACTCGGTTTACGTGGCATGCGTGAATAGTCCACGTAGTATCACTCTCTCCGGTGTTAAAACAAGCCTGGAAATGCTGCGTGACCGTTTATCATCAGTTGGAATTTTTGTGCGAATTCTGCAGGTTGATCTTGCATATCATTCGCCATTTATGAAGACTATTGGGGATCGGTACGAACATTCGCTCGGGCAAAACTTGCCAGTAGTAGGCGAGCAGCCATCAAATACCAGACATACGTCAATGTTCTCCACGGTAACTGGCGAAGTCATCAAGAACAATCCAGACTCTCAGTACTGGCGAAAAAATATGTGCTCGCCTGTTCAATTTTGGCAAGGGCTAGCCGCGATGCTGTCCGACTCTGAACCTGATCTTCTCGTTGAAATAGGTCCGAGCAACACATTGGCTGGGCCAGTGAGGCAGACAAATGACAATTTAGCCAATTCCTCCAAGGTGGAGTACTTCTCCGCACTCAAAAGAGGTGAAGACCCCATTGGTGCGTTGTTTGATCTTTGTGGCCAGCTGTATCTACGTGGTTGTCCAATCAAGCTCGAAAGGGTTAATCGGGGGTATGAACAAACAAACACCCCACCTGCTATTGTGGATCTGCCAAATTACGGCTGGAATCACTCTTTTTCATACTGGAATGAGAATGAGTCGAGTAAAGACTGGCGCTTCCGACGATATCTACCACATGATCTGCTTGGGAGCAAAATTCTTGGCACAACCTGGCATACGCCATCGTGGAAGAACACACTGCGATTGAGGAGTCTACCTTGGCTGGAAGACCATAAAATCGGCTCAGACGTCATATTTCCCGCTGCTGGTTATATTTCCATGGCGATAGAAGCCCTATACCAAGCAACCTGCGCTGTAAACGAGCAGCATGCCGGTTTTTCTATTTCGCAACTTCACTTTAGCTTGCGAAACGTCGAGTTCAAAAGGGCCATGATTCTGGACCACACATCTGATACGAGACTAGTTCTCACGTTGGAATCGCAGAAAGGAATCAATTCCTGGCGATTGTTTCGAATTTCGTCATTCGACGGCAAGCAGTGGACGGAACATTGCACCGGTCTGATACGTACAAGTGAAGAGGATAGCCTGGTTCAAAAAGATTTGGTAATGCCAAAAATGATCCATGCCACTCCAGCGCAGGTGTGGTATCGTAAATTTGCAGACATCGGCTACGGCTATGGACCGTCTTTTGAGAAAATGCTGCTGGTCGAGGCCCGAGTAGGCGCTGCCCAAAACCGCTGTGTTATTTCAATGCAAGCGCCTGCAGCAGCTCAATCCCCATCCTTTTATCCTATTCACCCCACCTGCCTTGATGCCTGTTTACAGAGTGTTTTCCCCTCGTTGTGGCAAGGAGATCATACAGCGATTTCAACCCTTCTACTGCCTGCAAGGATTGATTCTCTCGTCATTCACCCGCAACCAAATAGCATCAATTCTAATGTGGCATCCGCAAAATCCACGTATTCAGGCCGTGGAAGGTTGCAGGATAGAACTAGTTGGTCTTCCGACTGCTCCCTTAACAGAGAAGAAGATGGGAAGTGCGTCCTCCGCATCAATGGGCTTCGATTCAGCTCCGTTGATCTAGGTTCGGTGCAGCCAGCAGCTCAATTTTGGTATCGCTCAGTGTGGTGTCCAGATATCACTAAATGGTCTTTCATGCCACAAAAGCATTGGATACCACGCCCAAACACTGTGAATGAGTTGATTAACTGGGTAGTCCATAAACATGGCGAGGTGTCAATCATTGAGCTGAACTGGGATAGTGATGACGCTTCAAGTCTCTGGCTTGACAGGGCCGATCATCCAATGAGAGATCTTACCAAGAAATACCGTCTGTTGCTGTCAGATCATGAAAGTCTGGTCAAATCCCAGAATCTATTCCCTAACCACGCGTCTTCAATGCAAATGATACTGGACCGGGATGATCCCCTCTCGGGGCCGGAATGGCCTAAAATGCAGCTTGTAATTCTGAAGTCATCAGATTGCTCAGTCCATGACTCTTCAATGGGAAGACTGCTCGGGCAAATTTCAGAAATCATGTCAACTGATGGTATGCTCGTTATTGTCGCCCAAAGTCTGGGTTCTGATTCACATTCCAACGATGCCAGAAGCGATTCAAGCGTCTTCATGGAGCATGAAGATCGAAGCAAGTCATATGTCCCGTTCAGCCATCTTCTATCGCTAGATTTACCTTCCTCTGCCAAGCATGTTCAACTTTATTCACGGGCATCACCAGCCCCGTCATGTCCTCCCCAGCCGGTCGCCCTGTATTCCTTCCAGAAGACTAGCCCAATATCCAAAGGCTTGCGAGAGAGTTTGACACAAAACAATATCAGTCTCAGTGAGGTAAGCATTCATGGTCCAGAGACGGTGGAAATCGGCATAGGACTCGTGGTAGATGAGATATATGCACCATTACTGTGCAATATCTCAAGCCAACAATGGGAATCTCTGAAGACACTCTTCGAGCGAGAAACGCCCGTTCTCTGGGTCACTCAAGGAGCTCAACATCAAGTGACAAATCCTGATTCAAGTCTCATATACGGATACCTTCGCTCGCTTCGGGCTGAAGGGAATGCGTCGTCGCGCTTTGTGATTTTGGACGTGGAAAACGGTGATTCCCCTGGATCAAGAACCGCTATCACGACTCTGCTCTCTGAGATGTCTTCTTCTCCTGACCGGTTTGATCACGAATGGGAATTCTGTGAGCGAAGTGGCATCATCCATGTCAATCGAATATATCAAGATCGAAAGCTGAATAATTTGGACGATATTGAGCCAGCCCAAACATCGATTGCCAGCTGCGACGAAAAAGTTGCTCTTCACGCCACCCACCTTGGATCTTTAGAAGCTCTCCAATGGACACAGGAAGATACCGAGGACAGTATATTGGCACCCGGGGATGTTGAGGTCAAAATCGACGTCGCTGGACTGAATTTTAAGGTGGGAGTTGGAACCCTCCTCGCTAATTTGAAACCCGCTAATAAATTTAGGATGTCGCCCTTGCTATGGGTATCGTGCACGGTGATGAGTATCGACTGGGTCATGAGGGGTCTGGCCGTATTCAACGTGTGGGGTCGCAAACTGCTGGATATCAAGTCGGTGACCGGGTCGCAGTTTTTTCAATTGGCAGTTTTGCAAACCGGATCCAGGTTTCGACTGAGCTGATTCACCATATCCCAGATAACATGTCGTTCGAGGATGCTGCGACCCTACCTCTAGTGTACTCGACGGCTCTTTATTCTCTGCTGGATGTTGCCAACCTACAGGCCAATCAGGTATGAGCATTTTGACAGCTGCATACGCCACCTTGACTGACATTTCACAGTCTGTTCTGATACATTCCGCCACTGGAGGTCTGGGGATCGCCTGTATCCAGATTGCCCAATATATTGGGGCGAAGGTTAGTGACAAAAACCATGACTGTTAATTATACTGACCTTCAAAGGTATACGCCACGGCTGGAACACAAGAGAAGAGGGAACTGCTGTGCAAAGAGTATTCAATCCCCGAAAGTCAGGTATTCTCTTCACGCGATACAAGATTCGTTGCTGGGATTCGCGGTGCCACTCAGGGAGGAGGTGTTGATGTCATTGTCAATACTTTGACAGGGGACCTTCTGCACGAGAGTTGGATGCTCTGTGCAGATGGTGGTATATTTGTCGAGCTTGGCAAGAAAGACATCATTGAGCGGAACTCGCTGTCCATGGAGCCATTTGACCGCAATTGCTCTTTCCGTGCTGTCGATCTGTCTCACAAGCAAATTACAGATACTATGAAAAAGGGGTACGTTGAATGCGCATTCGCTTGATATTAGGCACTAACGGTGAGGTAGCCTTCTGACTAGAATATTTGACATGATCAAATGCGGAAATATTGGCCCAATTCGACCACAAACCACCTTTGCATTGAACGATATTCAGTCAGCATTTGCTCACATGCGTAGTGCACGACATATCGGCAAAATCCTTATTTTAGCAAAGGATGATGCAGATACCTCAGTTCCCGTTCACTCTTCCAGGAGACCAATTTCGATTCCGGGTGACCGGACTTACCTTATTGTGGGCGGACTTCGGGGGTTGTGTGGCAGTCTTGCAATTTGCCTCGCCCAGCGCGGAGCAAAACACATCACTATTATTTCTCGCTCTGGGTGCAATGATGAACGATCCAAGGCTATTATAGCTGACTGTGAAAATCTGGGCTGCCGCATCGTGGACGCAGTTGGTGATGTCACCTCTTTGCAGCATGTCAAGAATGTGTTTCAAAAAGCAGATCCACCCATCCGAGGGGTGATTCATGGTGCCATGGTTCTGCGCGTGAGTTTCCTACTCCCTTTCCGGTGATAGCATATAACTAAGATCTTCAGGACAAACCAATTGAAACAATGAGTGCTGTCGACTTTCATCAAACTATTTCCAGCAAGGTCAAAGGTGCATGGAATATTCATCATGCAGCAGCCGAGCAGGACAAGTCTCAATCCCTGGAGTTCTTTACTATGCTTTCCAGTATCTCTGGGGTAGTGGGGCAAAAGGGGCAGGCTAACTACGCCGCTGCAAATGTATTCCTTGATTCATTTGCAGCCTATCGATGCTCTCTCGGTCTCCCTGCTCATTCACTCGATCTTGGTGTGGTCGATGCTATCGGCGTCGCAGCAGAGAAAGGTGGCATGGAACGATATTTCAACCTTGAGCACTGGCCCCGAATCAAGGAAAGCAAGCTTCACGAGATTCTATGCATTTCGATAGACGAGCAAAAGAAGGCAAGGTATAGCCAGCTGATCACTGGGCTGCCTAGCGGTATCTCGCAGCTTCCTATCCTATCACAGGATGCCCGTTTCTCTATTCTTTGTGCCGAGGATAGCCAGACCGAAGGTCATCAGCCAGTATCCCCCAGCAAGGACACCTCATCCAAAGAGTTATACGAATTCCGGCTCCTAGTGAAAGCTATGAAGGCTAAGTCACAGCTAGTTGAAAAGGCGGTCACTCTCTGCGGTCTGCAGTTGAGTTGGCTTTTGTATCTCAAGAATCAAGTCATCGACGCCAACAAATCGTTGGCAGCATATGGTTTAGATTCATTGATAGCAATCGAGTTTCGCAATTGGTTGAAGAAGGAGCTTGCGGTTGAGATGTCGACATTTGAAGTCATCGGGGCCTCGTGTTTGCATGCGTTGGCTGAAAAGATGGTATCCAAGGTGGAAGCTGGAGTGCCTGTTGTCGAAGTTGTGTGACGAAGAAGCCCAGGTACAAATAGGCATGACCATGGGAAAGGTAGAGAGATACATAAAGAACGCCCTACAATACCGGTTGATTCCATTGTTTGAATTATTTGCACTATTTAGCTGTGTTTGTCTACGAAGATGTATAGGGGCCCCGGGGTCAAACCCCCTTTGGGGGAGATCTTATGCCTGAATGCCTTAATTCAGAACGGCGGAATAACTAATCAAAATACCTGAATTACTACCTAACCATTACATGTGCCTTAGTAATCTACCCTGATTCTGATGGCTTGCGCAAGTTCAAAAAAATGTAGCGTTTGACTTCCATACAAATGGAGCTATCTCCATATTTCCTGGAGGTTGCAAGTCCAAAAAAACGGAAGCTTTTGACCTCCATACAAATTCAGGAATCTCCAAAAGTGAACTTCCAAATCTGCCAAAAATATGGAGATGTCTGATTTGTATGGAGGTCAAAAGTTTCATCTAGTCAGGTTGATGTATTAACGATTTACAGTACATTGTATTAGAGCGGTGTATAAAGCGGTACTAATTCAGGTATTCAGGCATCGGCCACCCCCCCGGTTTTGACCCCGGGCCCCCATAACTATGTCTTCGTAGTTTGTCAGACCATTTTTCGGCGGGGCCCTTCTTTTCCCGCTAAGCCCTAAAAGGTGCAATCTGATCGGCAAAGCCCTGCAGCCAACTATGTTGCACAAAGTACATACCTGAGTACCTACTGTAGGTAGGATCAATTATGGATCAGTTATGCACAGGTGGGTCTCATTCTTCAGCTTCACTTTTTTCTTTTCAATATAACGTACGTACTCCGTACACCTTCGCTCAACTCTGTTGTACTTTACTTCTACTGTCGAATCCTTTTCATATCCGACAATATATAGTATACATAGGGGTTCCTCCCTATATAATACACCCCTTCCTATAAATTGCCAGAATCAGGTTCAATAAAATGCAGCTTTCTCCCGCACAGTCCATTGACTGTGGTATTTGTGGATTCTTCAATCTATCGAGCCATTATCAATCATCATCGTTCCATGTAATCTACATGTGATACATACCCTATCATACGTGTATGTAAGGGCTCCAAAACCGATAGCCTCAACAAGCATGCAATGAGAGACAATAATACACCTTGATCCATCGTAATGACGGTGCACTTGAGGGGCGTATTATAAAGTACAACCTATTGAATTTATGCATTTTTACTCTCTTCGGCTATGCCCCAAAACTCTGAGGGGTCTCCTCCGGCCTATAAAGGGCTTTGACTCTCAGCCACGGTGTACTCCGTAGAAAGCCTCAAACTACAAACTAGCTTCATTTCAATCATCATGCCAAACTACGAAAAGGTTGAATTTCAAACCTTGGATGGGCTCACTCTACGAGGTCGTCTGTTCCGTGCAGAAGGTGCAGGAGGCAATCGGACGGCGGCCGTTGTCATAACTCCGCCTGTAAGTGTTATTGAGAGATTGCACCTGAAAAGAAGCAAGACGTTTGTGCTCACCCGTATTAGTATGTTATCGTGCAAGATGTCATGGTCTCCGATATTGCTGTGTACTTCTCACAGCAGGGGATCACAGCCCTGACCTATGACACGCGTAGCTTCGGAGAAAGTGACGGCCAACCACGCTGTGAGCTGGATTTGTCTAAACAGGTCGATGACTATAGCGATGCTTTTACCTTCCTGGCTTCGCTACCCTCTGTTGATCCCTCCAAGATTGGATTTTGGGGGATTTCATTCTGTGCCACGGTGGCTTTAAATGCAGCCGCACTGGATAGGCGTTCCCGATTTGTGATCAGTGTTGGTCCCATAGTTAAGGCCTCCGATGAAAATCCATACCCGATCGACAAAGTTCATCGAGTATTGACTAAAGCACTTCGGGACCGAGAGTCTCAGCTCCGAGGCAACACTCCATTTTATGTCGAGTCAACATGCGAAGATGGATCAAACCCCACGGGTTTCGGGCCCGAACTAGGCATCGAAGCCTATGAACTGGTACAAAGAATTGCCGCCAGTGGCATTGCGCCAAACTTTTCAACACAGCTTACGCTACAGAGTTTTGCAAAGATACTGCGTTGGCATCCGATGCAAGATATTAAGTGGTTGGGGGAAACACCGATGATGTTGATGATACCTGGAGATGACACCGTTAGTCTCCCGGAAGAGCAAATGCGACTTTTTGATATGATCACAGGTCCGAAGAGAGTGGAGGTGGCCGCTGGCAAGAGTCATTTCAACGTGCTCGCTAGTGAAGGTTTCGAAGGACTTATGGATATGCAGGTGGAGTTCATCAAGCAGACACTGGGTTTGAGTAGTTAACCATGCCTGCCTTGAATTATCTTCCCAGGGGGGGGAGGTTTGTTTCCAAGATTTAGAATAATATTGTGGTACAATTAAAGTGAAACTATTTCGGGTTTGCAATTTTTATCTGAGATTTCAATGTTGTCGAGCCCATTATTTAGTAGCAGCATTTTCAAAACACAAGCTAAAAATTGAGTTCCATAGAATTTTCAGCTCCAATTACACTGCCTAGGCCATTGAAGCAAACATACACACCCAAGTACGACAGTCTTGCCATAAAAATTACCTTGGAATGCTTAACCAAATACGGATTCATATCCAGGTGATATCGCAGTCCACTTCCTTGCATATTCAGCTCTTCGTGCGCGACACACAAAGCCTCGCATCGTCACTATAAGCTTTGCATCAAAATGGGACGCCATCATCCCTTGCGTTAAAATAACTATTTTTCGATCGTTGATCAAGATGTCTAGGTTTTCCTTCCCGCTCCTTTTTTTTACTTCAAGACCTGTTCGGCATTAAGTGAGCCAGTGTCAATGCTACATTCCTGTCAAACTCCGGTGAAGTTGATCTGTGTATATTTATCCCCTCCACGGCTCAACTTCACATTTGTAAAAAGACAATGTCGTCAAATTCGTCATGTCTTGTGACAAATCAAGGAGGCGCTTTACCATTAACAGCAACCTGTCTCGAGGGGTTTTACTGCCCTAATAACAGCTTGGAAAATCCACCAGAGATATGCCCTCCCACTCCCCAATGCCGCTTGACGCGGCTTCAAGAATATCACAACATCTGCGACCATGCCCAGGGCACTTATGAACCGATTGTCTGCCAACCTGGCTTCTACTGTCCATCAGGGGGAAACGCCAGATCCCATGTCCTAAGGGGCACTTCTGTCCATTGGGAACTGTTGAACCGTTCAAGTGCTTCGGGCTTTCCTCATGCGCAGAGGGCAGTGAAAGGGAGATTCCCCTAGCTGGCCTACTTTGTAGCATATTATTGGATATTTTTCTTGTCATTGTCGTTTCTTGGCCATTTCCCTTCGCTTGGATACGACAGTTATCGCGTGGAAAGCTCAGGCGAGGAGCAGGAGGAAATGACTCGGAAAGTGGTGTTATCTCTGCGGGACGACGGGAGATATCATTTTCTGAAAGCAAATATCATGTGAGCCAATTCTTCACTTCAGATGGCTCCCATGGTACCGCTGCTGGCATCGAGGTGGAATTCAGTGGCATCAGTATGCGTCCAACCAGGTCAGGTATCGAGACTTTATGCCTTCAGAATGGAGTAATACGCGCGGGTTCCTTCGTGGGTGTGATGGGTCCGTCAGGGTCAGGGAAGTGTATGTTGCTTTTGACGAAGATCTGATCATGTGCATCACGACTGACTGACATATCCTTACAGCAACTTTGGTCAAGGTACTCACCGGAAGGGCCCAACCCACAACTGGATCGGTTCTCATCAATGGTGACACTTGTCGAGCAGCAGAGTACCTATATCACATGATAAATGGGCAAAATAAAGGACTGACTCAAGAATAGACTACGCGATTTGCTGGCGCTCGTCCCTCAAGATGATATAATCCTTCCGGATCTGACGGTCCAGGAGAACATTCTCTATTCATCAAGGGTTCGAATCGGAAGTTCACGGAAAGATAGTGAGATTGAACAATACGTCGACCATCTTATAATTAGTCTGGGACTGAATAAGGTGCGGAATCGACTCATTGGAGAAGTGGGCAAAAGAGGTCTTTCCGGCGGCGAACGAAAACGCGTCAATATCGCTCTCGAGCTGGCTGCAGTGCCCGGCATTATTGTCCTCGATGAACCTACATCTGGTTTGGACGCGATGACTGCCCTTTCGGTAATTGAGCTTCTCAAGTCCTTGACAAAACAGGGCGTGATTGTGATTTGCGTAATTCACCAGCCACGACTCGAGATCTTTGCAGCACTGGATGACCTTCTGCTATTGAATCATGGACGGCAGGTCTATTTTGGTTCGGCTGCGGCTGCTAAACAATGTTTCCAGGATGCAGGATATACGTTTCCACTCAACTCCAATCCCACTGATACGATGATGGATATCATGTCATGTCATGACAATCTTCATCTCACCGACTATCCAAGGAACAAACCTGCGCTCCCGAAACAGAATTTGCGCATAGTACTTCAATCCGTCAAGAAAATTCGTGCACCGTGGTATTGTCAGGTGTTATTGGCATTCATGCGAGGCACAAAGCAACAAACAAGACAATATCCCAGCTTTGTGCTTGAAATTCTAACCGGCGCTGGCTGTGGCATTCTCATAGGACTATCCAATTATGAATTCAAAGGTCACCTGTTTCAGGGGTTATTTCACCTTCCTTTCCAGCTCTTATCGAGTCCAGTAAGCTACCGGCTTCTCACGGAGCAAGGGATGCTACTTTGCCTGACCATAGGTATCATGTCTCCCTACCAACTGACTGCCATATTCACTGACTCATGTGCTTAGGATGTGCGGCCGGTCCAGCCGGCGTGAAAACCTTTGGCGAAGAAAGTGAGTATGATATATCACTTGTCATATCCACAAGTCTAATCATATTATTATAGAACTTGTCTTCCTTAGAGAATCCTGCTCTGGCTACTCCGAGGGCGCCTACTTCCTCGGCAAGGCCCTTTCTACCCTCATTCGCATATTTTTATCGGCATTACACTTCACATCCTTTTACTTGATACTAACAACGCCCATCGTGTCGTTTCCAAACCAACTCATCGTGAACCTGTTATATTTCTATTGTAAGCTTTATTCATCATGCCCCACAGGGACTCTCACCTAACAAATAGCCAAGGTATCTACGGCGCGGCCAGCATGATATCGGCAATAACATCCCCGAAAAACGGGCCTCTAATTACTATGCTGACGAGCGTTCTCTTTTGCGCCCTCTCCGGATGTGCACCGCGTCTTGCGTCGGTAAAGAGTTGGAACCTGGCGTGGCTATGGTACATTTGTCCTGCCGTATGTTCCTCTTCTTTTTCTGCCTTTTTTTTTTGGTCTTTCTGTTGACGAGCATCACTTCAGGTATGGATAGCGGAGGCCAATTTCAATCAGTACACAGATCCGCTGGCCTATTTGTATGATATTAAACCAGCGGCAGAGGTGACGGGGTTTATCACAGGGCGAACGGGGTTTGATTTAGGGTATGACTGCTCCATTACGTTTTAATTCTTGATTTGATCACCGGGTTTTGATACTAACTATTGTCCTAGGATGCTATTCGTGCTTGGGACCGTTTATCACTTCATAGCCTTTTTATTGTTTAAAGTTTTCCTGCATCGACATGGAAGATGACTTGACATGTTATTAGGGACCATGGCTGGGAGGTCAAAAGCACATGATGTCGCAGGAAGTACAATAGGCCATCAGGCATTGAATATTTCCCACCGATAGCAGAATATAATGGAAGTTTGTTGCCGTGGAGCTTTGCTTTGGGGATACGCCTAGGGGATAAATCCTATTCCAAAAAGGATCTACTCTGTATCACCTGTATTGTTGCCGTCTATCTGGGGGTACGATACAATAAGATAAGAATTGTAATCGGCCGCTTATACGGCCGTTTTATGTTCCTTTGAGATGTCTTTTTAGCTATCCTTTTAGATATATACGCGGGTGGTAAAAAAAGCATATTCTATATAAGAGACTATTCTACATATAACCTTTGACTATATAATTAGTCCCCGATCCCTAGCCGGGATATACCTTCGCATAATTCCAAGGTTGTAAAGTGAGAGTACATCTAAATTAACGTCTATATAAACTAATGAGAGAGTTATGAACTAGTGACATTCTTAGTCGCCCGTACGAGATAACATTAATCAAACAAGCCGATGCTCCCCAACGCCATTTAACAACCCATTACGGGTTCAAAAATCCCGATTCTTTCCACCTGGCAATATATTTCATCATGAGATCCTCATCAATAGGACCCTGATTCTGCAGCGTCTTGGAATGTTGCGAAGACTTGGTGGTGTCCAGAACCAAACCACCGCAAGACATCGGAACGAAATAATGCTCGAAGAAATCAATCAACTGCAACGCAGGGTTATCGGCGATGCTCCCCGGAAACCTCGCACCCGATTCACCCACTGACCAAACGGAACGATACTCTTTTGTCCAAGATCTAACGCGCGAGCCAAAATCGCAATCATCTCCCGCCACGTCTGCCGGGACGGATTGTCAATATGATAGATAAGATCCGTCGTAGATTGAGACAGGAGTAGCTCGCCTAGAACAGAAGCGACATCGTTCACAGGGTACCAGGAGAGGGTTCCATCGAGCTCGGGAAGAATCTTGAGAACCTGCGACGACTTGATCAGGAATGGCATGTACTCAGAGGGGTTCCAGTAGCCATTGCTAGTCGAGCCGGTAATCTGCGCAATCCGCACCGCCATTACATGGAACCGGTCTGGGAAACGATATAATGTCTCGGCCAGAATACGCTCCGTTGCAAGTTTGGCTTCGGCATACCCCGTCAAAGGGACGGATTCAACCGTACCAGATTGCTCGGGGACGACAGGTGTTCCTGCCAATAGAGGGTAGTTTGCAATCACGGCGCTGGAGGAGATAAACTGGAAGCCGAATTTGAATGGGGCTGGTCGGTGCTGGGCGACTTCGCGTGCAAGATCGATGAGACCCCGCGCGATCTTAAATTGAGGTTCGTAAGTCCGCATCGGGCGGGTCAGACTCATTGGCCAAGCACTATGGACGATTTCGGTCACGTTTTGGATCAAATACTGGTAGTTTTCGGGAGAGAGCCCTAAATTGGGCTTGCTTGTGTCCGTTTCAATCACCTTCAGCTTGCTCAGCGATGTCGGGTCGAGTGAGATGCCTCTCATTTGAAGAGAGTTCTGCTGTCGCACTGTCGCCTCGGTCGTGCTCAGTCGATTCAGACATACAACTGTGTGGATACCTGGGCGTTGTACCAGGGAGGCCACGATGTGGGCACCCAGGCTTCCGGTAGCACCGGTAACGAGCACACACTGCCCAGAGCTCAAGGATGGCAACTTGGCAGGGGATAAAATTTGTGATGGAGCAACGAAGTCTTTTGTGTATTTGTGAACAGCGGCGTCAATCCTCGCTCGGCGCTCAGAGATGTCTGGTAACGTGAGTTCAGGGATGGATGCCAGAGGAGGCTTTGGTCCGCGATCATACCTGGATCCAGATGCATGGGCGATAATCAAACGCTGAATACGTGCCTCGGGAAGTTCTCCTTCAGTCCAGTCGACATGGCCGTATCCCACCGACTGCAGTACCTTCTCCCAATAGGTGGCTGGCTGGAGGACGTAGTCTCGCCCATCCTCAAACAGCCACCATCCTTCCAACAACCCGAAGATGAAATCGCACCACGGTACCTGCTCCGTCATCTCTAACATAATGAGAGCACCATCAGGTCGCAAGATCCGATGAAGATTCTTTAATGATACAGAAAGATTCCGTGTTGCATGGATACAATTGGTGGCCAAAATGATATGCTGGCTCTGCAAGAATTTGGCATCTGGCTCACTTTCCATGTTCAGAGGTTTGAAATCCATGAACGGGTACTTCTTGAAACGTTTGCGAGCAGCTGCGATGAGCGACCCCGAAATGTCTGTCATGGTGTATTTCACGGGGACTCCTAATTTGGCGAGCAATGGCACAATTCTGCTTGTTGTCCCGCCAGTGCCTCCGCCAACCTCGAGAATGCAGATGGGCTGTCCATCTTTGGGAAGGCGACCAAGAACCCGTTCGAAGAATCGCTCAAGCTGTTTGATCCAAACTGTGTTGACAGGGGAGTTCGAATACATATCTGCAGCAATTTCTCGGCTTTCCGGATTACCAAAGATGAGCTTCAGGCCATCTTCTTTATCCGTGATGAGATCTGCAAATTTCTGACCTATCAATGCTGCGAGCTTATGTTCAGCAGCATGAACAGGTTCATCGTGCAACAGCTTGCTGAGCAATGTGTCCGCAGATGCGGTCGGCGGCGCAACTGCCGTGCGTGTGATAATCGAGCCGTTGATGTCTATCAAACGGGCGTCCTTTTCCAATAACCCATAGATGATCATGTTCATGAACTTCTCATGCTTGGGATGGTATGGAACGCGTGTAAGCACTTGACCTGGTGCTGCAGACCGTATTGGGCAACCTAGTTGTTCGAAGGCATCCACAATATACACAATGCAGAGCTCTGTGGACCGCGGCATGACATGCTTGGAGTATGTTCCCAGTTGGCCCTTGACAATGTCGTCATCAGTGTCCCATTTGATCTCACGGAATGCATCAAGCAATGTGGACATAGACAGAACAGCGTTGCCATCTCTATGGTCAAAGCTGACGGTACCATTGGCGCCGTTGATATTTGTGGCGGGCTCATTCGGTTCCAAAAGTATGTATGCTTCTGTGTCAACCGAAGAGTCTCGTTCAAACCCGACGCCGCTTTCCTCGTCGTCAAATCCTAGGGTAGACCGGATACACGAGACCAGACTGGCGAAGTCAGTCAGCTCCATAAGCTGATCATTTTGAAGAGTGCACTTAAATGCAGAATCGACTTCTCGAACCAGTTCCATGGCCATAAGAGAATCGATCCCGAGTTCAACAAGGTCAGAGTCATCTTCTATCTCCTCCGGCTCCAATCCGGAAAGATTACAGATAATTTCACACATCTTTGCAGAGATGTCTGGTCCAGGGGGCTTCGCGACATTTTTCACAATAGTTTTCTCTTGGAATGAATTCAGGCTAGAGGGAGTGGAGCTAACCGTCGTTGTAGGAGTGGGAGCATGGACAGGTGTAGACTTTGACGAGACAGCAGCCGTGGAAAAGTGGGATTCTTGCTGAGGACCCCGGGTCAAAAGTTTGCGCATTGAATCCATGGGTACAAGCCGATAAGAAATTCCTAGGATCGCCTCGATCAAGGATCCATCACGAGGGTCGAAAGCGAAAACATCACTGACATACTTAGTCTCAGACTCGTGGTGATGCACCGCAAATACTTCCCAAGCATCAGGGGCTGAAGTCATGCTACCTAGTCCGGGGTAATGCATCCATCTGGAAATACCGTCACAGATGTAGACGCCTCTTTTAGACAGATCAGATGCATCTGTCATGAGATTGATGAAAATTCCGGCAACCTGACAGAAACACTCCGTCAAAACCGGATCCATCCAGGTCTCTCCAGTATATGCCTTTGAGACGTAGCCTGCTGATTCATCCTCCTTTCCAGCTATCTTGGTTACACGCCGGAATGGCTCCGCATAGTTGACCACTTGTTCGAACGCTCGATAGATATTTCGGCCCTGAAGCACGTCGTCTGCACCGTTTCCTTGGAGAAGACTAGCACATCGTTTCTTGCCACTCAGACGCGACAAGCGCTCGAAGTTCTCCTTGAGTGCAGGGTCACTGGCCGGCAAGAAAACAATGCTTCCAGAGCTGAATTCAGTTACCCTATCCCCAAGGTCAGTACCGTAAAGTCTCCATCTCCAGGCCAGGCCTCCATCATCTTTTGCAATGGCGTCAAGATACAAGTCCGTAGAATTAGAGTCAATGAGGGCGTTGTGATAAGAAACCCCCTGGACCTCTGGTTGGAACTGGTACGTCTTGAAGTCAGGTTGCAGATTCATTATGGCATCGAGTGAAATTTCAATCTGAAGCATGCCGGGTGTTACAGCGGTGGTATTGAGAGCAACATTAGCCGATGTCAGCTGCTGGAATTTGTCGCAGGTTGTGTTCACTCGGAATCGGGCAGACTGCTTTGCCTGGTCTTCAAACCCGATGAATGTTGTAAGGCCCTTGGGAGGCTCTGGCGGTTGCACAGTTGTGTCGATAGAGGATTTGACTTCGGGAACCTCCTTCAAGTCCATCCAATGTCTCGCCTTTTCGAATTGGTAAGGAGGGAGTATCACAAGCGAGTGCTGAGACACTTCCATAGGATGATGAGCCCAAAATGACACATTCAGGCCTTCTTTCCACAGCTTTGTCGTCGCTTCAGCCAGAAGTGGGAGAGATTCTTCGCTGGTTATGTGAACAGACTGGAAATGGTGTGGAGAACTTGAATTTCCCAGTGCCCGGCTTATCATGGTGGTAATCGTAGAATTTGATCCAGCTTCAAGCCAGATTGCAGCTGGGTACTCCTCAGCAAGTCTTTGGACTGCATGGTTGAAATATACCGGGTTTCTCAAGTGCTGAGCTATGAAATGGGACCCGCGGGTTGGGCTAGATCTTGTCTCAGTCGCTGCTTCAACTTGAATAATAGGCTCATTAAATTGAATTTCGCGACCAAGTGCTTCCAGATCACTAATCAACGGATCGACATTGGCAGAATGGAAGGCATTGGTAACATTCAACTTCTTGAGCTTCATGCCAAAGAAGGTCTGGTTGCTCCGTGCAAGTTCCTCGATGAATTGAACAGACTCCGTCGAACCTGCGAGGGTAAAAGATCTGGGGCCATTATAACAGGCAATAGAGACATCCGGTTTGTTTGAAGTGGACAGCAATGCTGTCACCTCAGCAAGATCCGCCTCCAATGCTAGCATGGATCCCTTATCAGAACCCCACTTGTCGCGAATCAGACGTGCCCGACCAGAGATCAGTCTGAGAGCGTCAGCCAAAGAATAGGCACCGGCAATGCAGAGAGCTGTCAGTTCGCCAAAGCTATGGCCAATCACCGCGGTCACCTTGACTCCGGAGTCAATCCACGCTCTCGCACAAGAGTACTGTGCCGCGAAGAGTACAGTCTGTAGCTCCACCGTGTCTAGGATTGGAGACCTTTGAAATATGGCAGGGTAGATGCTGCCGAGACCCAGTGAGAGGCATACCGTATTGCACTGGTCCAGATGACTTCTCAAAATAGTTGCCTGGTTGTAGACATCCTTTCCTAGGCCAACATAGGTGGAGATCTGGCCGCCGAAGCAAAGAATGACCGGACGAGGTGGAGGCACTTCAATTTCCGCGATGCTCCTACCCCCTTGTTCATAGTCCAGAAGCTTCTCCTCCAGCTCGTTACGAGAGGCAGCACTGAATATCAACGCCCTTGGCAAATTGCGATTTGACTGGCGGGAGATTTGGAACGACAAATTTCGCACTGTCAAGTCCTTCACCGAGTCGGCATTATCGTGGATGAAACGCCTGAATTTGGTAGCATATGCTCGAAGACTTTGTGAGTCGATTCCGCAAAGCCAAAAGGGAAAGCTGGTAGCAGACGACGATAGCGGCGAGGGATTCGAAGTCGAAGAGCGGGGCTTCGGTGCCTGTGTGATGATCATTGAAGCATTAGAGCCTGAGGCGCCGTAGTTATTAATAAGAGCAGCCCGGAAGTCCACATTCCAAGGAGTCAGTTGCGTTGCAATATTTATCATGTCTTCATGATAAGCATTCAGGGCAGGGCTCATAGAAGTGAAGCTAGCCTGTGGAGGTATGAAGCCCTCGTTGATCATGAGCAAAATTTTCACCAAGGATACTATACCCGACGCAAATTCGGTGTGACCAAGTAGACCTTTCACGGACATCAGAGAAAGTGTGTCCGAGCGTATTGAGCCTCCAAATACTCTTCGAACAGCATCATACTCCGCGGGGTCACCCACTGGAGTTCCGGTTCCATGGGCTTCGACTACAGAAATAGCCTGTGGCTCAAGCCGCGCCTGTTCTACCACATCTCCAAAAAGCCCTGCCAGTGATATCGAATTAGGAACTGTGATTGCTGTACAGTTCTGGTTCTGGTAGACCTTCGTGCTGGCTATAACTCCAAGCACTTGGTCTCCATCTGCAATCGCGGAGGAAAGTCGCTTGAGGAAAACAACGCCAGCGCCCTCTCCTCTGCAATATCCATCACCTCTTGCATCAAACGGCTTGCACTGTCCAGTGGGGCTCAAAAAGGAAGCACCAGCCAGATTTTGAAACCATTCAGGACTGGTGAGGACATTGACTCCGCCTGCAAGCGCACTCGTGCATTCTCCATGGAGGATAGCACGGCATGCTTGGTGAATAGCGACACCGGACGAGGAACAAGCAGTATCAATTGTTAGACTTGGACCTGTCCACCCGAAATAGTGACTGACCTTCCCGGCAGCGAAGCTTCGGAGGTTTCCCGTGGCCGAATAAGCGTTTGCTGGGTGGCAAGCAATGTTGCGTTCGTAGTCATTGTTCCCGATTCCGATATAGCATCCGACATGCTTGCTATTATGGGAAGCTCCGAAATACCCAGACTGTTCGATGGCCTGGTATGCAAGTTTCAATACCAATCGATGTTGGGGATCGGCGGATGACATCTCGCGTGCGCTTTTCTTGAAGAATTTGTGGTCGAAGGTGTCATAGTCTCGTAGAAAATTACCGTACCATTTGCGGTTCTCCTCGAGCTCCCTGAACGCTGTCTTCATACTGAAGCGCTCCAATGGGACTCTAGTATGCTGTGATTGGCCACTAGTCAAGATTCTCCAATACTCATCAAGGTCTTCCGCTCCAGGAACATGACAAGCCATTCCGATCACAGCGATCTGATCGTCTGGTAGATTGTCAAAGGGTGATGCGGAGGTTGAACGGAGAAGTTCACTCGGCAGAGCAGAGGTTGACAGATCGACGTCAGAAATATGAATCAGTAGAGGACCCAGCTTCCTTATCATTGTCGGTGGCACGCATCGTTCTGAGCCAAAGCAGACAAAATTCGCACCACCTGCGTCAATGTGTGATGATTGAACGAGACCGAACAAGCTCAGCCATTCGGATGGTTTGAGCAGAATCTCTTGCAATGCAATCTCATGTAGACGACCTCCAGTGCTCAGCCTGGTCGGCAACACTATTTCAGATGCATCGGGGAACTGGAATCTGGGGTCATGGTCGCAAAAGGCGATGAGCTGCTTTGCGTCTTCACGATGTTTTGGCCAATGGAACCGACCAGAAAGTGCAACTTCAGTGACGTGTGCACCGGATAACCTGAGTTTATCAAGGAGAGCAGGAGCTGATTCCTTAGGGGCAGTCACTGTGGCCCTCTTTTCATCAACGAAAACAGAGATGTATGCCTTTTCATGTCGCGTTAATGAGTAATTTCATGTCATGTGGTCTGAGGTTGATTTACCTCTGGAAATTCTGCCAACACTTCGTCCACGCTGGTACGAGACTCCAACGCATTCCATGACATTGAGAAGGACATGGCGGGACTGCCGGTGTCCGGTGATGCCTCTTCGGCGTCCACGAGCGCACCAACAAGCATGGACAATCTCACAGCAACAGCACCGTATTGCTGAACCTTGGCTATGCTGGAGGCACAGCTCACAGCGAAGGCGCTCAGAATACCGGTACATAGACCGAGACTCTCCGAAGTCTGCATGACAGATTGGGGTATCTCGTCGGTATCCCCAAGACCCGGCAACCCAGACCTCACAAAGGCAAGATACTGGGTCAATTGAACGATTACCACCAGAGGTGATAGTAGGATATTGGGTAATGGAAACAGAGAATCCGGTAGACTTCCTGTCTGCAAGCCCTGATGCAACTCTCGCAATAGCCGTTCACCCTCTACATGTTGCAGTTTTGGCACTTGTTTGACGAGACTCTCCCAAATAATTGGTAGGTCAGATAAGGCATCTAACGCCCAGCTGTCGTATAGATGGCTTTGAAGTGTTGTGAAGAGCTTGGCATCGAAAGCCAATGCCTGTGGTCCGAACAAAAACACCTTGGGGTTCACCCGGGGGTAAGACTCAGACGGCATGTTGCTAGTCGCGTTGAGGTCGACTGGTTTACCACTGAGAAACAAAAAGTTGAATGTTAGGTGTTAAATTAATGGGAATATAGAATTCAATTCATGGATTGATTTAAGTTAAGTAGGGCTATTGACAACTTGGTCTACTCTTGAAGCATACATGTGCAATCTATCCACAGTCGGGAACTTTTGCATGCCACGAGGCTAGCAACTCACTGCATGAAAATCAGAAGTACTCAGCCCCACCATATTACCACACGTATTGCTGATATGAAGCGTTGTCGATCTGTTGAGTAATTGTTGTGTTTGAAGATTAACTTCAACGTCCTAAATTACCCGAGGCGAGCCCCGGGGTGGGGTGGACGGGTTGGATAAAGGCCCCGAGAGAAAGAATCCGAGCGCCAATAGGTAAAATCTCCGGACGCCCACCCTCACGTCAGCCTTAAACCGTTTCCACGAGGCTAATGCAGAATAATTGTTCCTGCAGCCAGTCAAGATCCGTTGCCGTGGCCCATTGCCAGCTGTGCTTTACCGGGTTTCAATTTCATATGATTGGAATCGGATCCAATTTTAATCTACGAGCCTTGAATAACGCCCCCCTTTGCCATGTTGTTTGTTGACGAAGCTACACGATAAATGAGTAGTTCGCGTATCAACCTCAACGGTGACCCCATGGGCATCACTGCATCAGTCATTCGCCTATTCGGTTTACAATTTATACAACCTTGGAAACTAGCAGGAAGCAACAATCACAAATCTACTATTTGATAAACAATAAACAATAAACAACCGGGACATCTAAAACAGTAGAAAATATAATTCTAATAAACACCCGTCTCCTTTGCAAGCTCGCGGATCTGGTGAATAACAAGCGAGACATCCTTTAGCTTGAGAGGTACTCGATGGTCCCCATCCCATTCTATCAACCTCCGGCTTTGTGGAGCACAAAAATCCTCAAACAGTTTTCGGTGATGATCTAGTCCCTTGTCTCGCAATCCATGGACGTGAAGTGTAGGAATTCGCAACACATGACCCTTGCCATAAAATAACTCTCGCTCGCTGTGTTTGAGGTCGGTGATCTGCGAGGCGTCCGGTAGTGGCGGATCCAACGTCAAGTCAGAATCCATTGATATGAAAGGTGCCTGTCCCGCCAGGAGAATACCGAAACGGAAGTTAATTCCAGCTGGGCGGGTGCCGAAGAGCTCTTGCCAGCTTTGTTGTCTGTAGAGCAGGCTGGCGGATACTTTCGCACCCTGGCTGAAGCCCAAGAGAGCAATCCACTCGCCAGTAGCTCCAGCAAGATCATCTTGATGCATGGCTTTTTCTAGCCACGTATCAATCTCTTGGACTGCGTCTTCTGGTGGGATCACTGGGTGTTCTGGTCGCCATCGAAGCCAGCGCCGGAAAGGACCCCATTGACTATAAACTGATAGAACATCTGATCCAGCCTGCGACGCAAAAGGAGCTTGGGCGAATACAAGGCGATATTCCGATTTTAGTCCAGCAATAAGCCCTCGGCATTGAGCCCGGAAGATTCGGGCATTCGTACCACCCCCATGAAGACATAATATCCGTGGCAGATGGATGGTCGAGTTGTCTAACGTGCGTGTTGTGTTCATTCTGGGTAATACTCTTCCTCGGGATAGCAAAGGATGAAGGGAAAGTGGGATCTAAGGACGCCCAAAGGTAACGCACGAGATACGCCTCTCAGCGGCGATTAAGTTGATATCTTTTGAGTCAAACACTAGAAATCAATCCGTGATAATCGTCTATCTCTAGAGTACTACCTAGGTATAGAGTACTACCTAGGTATAGAGTATACTGGCCAGTTTATGATAGGTAGCCGATAACATGAGCCATAGATTTCGCCCAAAAATATTAATATTAAAATTGAATTGAATTCCAAAAATTCCTCATTCGTCCAACTCGATTCTATCATTGAAAAGAATTCACGATCAAAAGTACTTGGCGGCTTATTCGCATATCCGGCGACTTTCTCCTGCAGAGAAAGCAGCCGAGCCGGCGTAACGCCACATATAGCTACTAAATGGCCCGATTGCAGCTATACCCGATTCTATCCAAGAGTCCTAGGTCGTAAGTTCGCAATAAACCGGGAGAAGGACATGATGGCTGATCGAAACAATCCTATGTCACGGCATTTGTCCCCTTAGATCTCCTAAAATAAAATTCAAACTACCTCAAGCACCGAAATTAGTTTATCATCCGCGAAAGACAATGCCTGTTCTAAGCAATCCATCGTTCTATCTTCCACTCGTGGATATCACGCCATTCCTGGAAAATCCTCACGGGGCTGCCGCCCAGGATGTCATTGAATCCGTGCGCACAGCATGCAAATCCACTGGATTCTTCCAAATCAAGGGCCACCAGGTCCCTCTCAGACTGCAAAAATCGGTCTTTGAGGCATCAGCTCGATTCTTCGCCCTTCCACTGAAGAACAAACTCGAACTAGACAGCCGGAAGACCGTTGGATTCCGGGGCTACGATGTGATGGAGACTCAATCATATGAGCTCGAATTTGGAGCCGTTCAGGAGGCCGATGCGCTGCGAGACATCAAAGAAGGCTTTTTTATCGCAACCGATCTACCTCCTGATCACCCCCATGTGGCAAACGGTCGCTTCCTGCAAGGTCCCAACGTCTGGCCAAAGCCCGAACAGCTTGCGCCCGAGGATTTCCAATCGGTTCTGGAAGAGTATTATACGGAGATGCAGCGTTTATCCCATGTGGTTCTGTCGCTTCTTGCGGCAACACTACCCTACGGCCCGCATGTATTCGATGAACTCGAGACTTGTGACCCAATGTCTCTGCTTCGACTTCTCCATTATCCCCGGGGCTTGGAGAAACAGGACGGAAAGAAGCTTCAGCTCGGTGCTGGTGAGCACACTGATTTTGGTACCTTCACACTTCTGTTGCAGGACGAACATCCCGGTCTTGAGGTTCAGGACAGTGTGACAGGCGAGTGGCACGGAGTACCTCCCCAAGAGGATGTGTATATTGTCAACGTGGCCGACATCCTTTCCACAATGACAGAAGGGGACTACAAGAGCAGCGTGCACCGGGTGTGGAATATAAAGAGCAATGACCGGTACAGTGTGGTTTTCTTCTACGACGGCAACCTGGACTATAAAGTGAAACCTCTCAGGAGCTCTGGGCAGGACGAAAATGAGGAAATCGATGCGCCTACCATTGAGGAACATGTGCGATCGCGCCTGACGGCGAGTTATGCCATTTAAAAAGAGAATTTCGAGATTGGTATAGATAACTGGAAGGGGGAGCCTTGAGGGAACACACTTCTGTGGCTTATTAAGGGCTCCAGATTCTAGTTGTCGGCCAGAGATGCCAGCTATCTAGAGGAAAGGGGATATGTATTAAGTAACAGAAGAGAAGGAAAGACAAACTGTAAAGTCGATGCTCTGGAGAGAGATACGGAAGAAGGAGAAAAGAATGAATAAGAGGTAAGCTCTTGGAGAGGATGCTACACGATCTCAATACTCCTGCCTGCTCCATTTATATAGTGAATATAATGTCGACATCATATGTCGACATATCATGTAACAGTGGCCAATCTAAAGCTCAGTTCTCTAGTTCTTTAAATACAAATCCTTAAGTCATCCATCATAACAACATTCAACAAGATATCAATATACCAATTTAGTTAATATGGATCGTATTCAGTCAACAAGACAAATATGATTATATTTGACTATAAGTGTACCCTTCAAAATTAAATTCATGACCGACACGGACCAGACATCTATAGCGATGCGTATATCTCACAAAAATTCAAGCTATCAACAGAAAAATAAATTGTCCAACATCAAAGAACAGGGTGTACATGAAAATCTCAGGCTTCTATGCAAAAATAAGTCTAGGAGACTTTGAAACTAAATAGTCTCATTCCCCAACCAGAATAGGCTTGCGCTTTTCACTGAATGCGGCAAGGGCAGCCTTTCGATCTTTCGTCGTCAGAACAGACTCGTAGGCGGCGTTCTCAACCGCCTCACAACTATACGAAAGTGCTCTGATTGCAGCTCGAATAGCAATAGGTCCAGCATCGGAAATTTGTTCAGCCAATTGGATACCGGTTTCCAGAGCCAAAACCCGGTTGGAGAACGCTTGCGTGTCCTCCGAGCCGTCTGCCCCCACAAGACGGTTGCACAGTCCCATCTTGGCAGCCTCACTTGCCGGTACTCCCCGGCCTGTCAAGATCATATCCAGAGCATTTGACATGCCCACAATATTGGGGAGGCGATAGGTACCACCAGCACCGGGAATAATAGCTAGCCGAGTCTCGGGTAATGCAGCCACAGCGTTAGAGGCGAAGACACGCAGATGACAGCATAGCGCAAGTTCCAGTCCACCGCCGAGCGCGTGGCCACTAACACAGGCAATAGTGGGGATAGGCAGGGCAGCTAGACGGGAGTACAAACCCCGGAGACTAGTCAAGAAGGCTTGTGTCTCTGTCAAGCTCATATCTTTGCGCTCTTTCAGGTCCGCTCCCGCACAGAAGACTCCGTCCACTGCACTCGCAATAACCAAAGCGCGTGTGCCGCCCATGTGCCGCTCGTTATGAATCTCTTCAATCTCGCAACTTAATTCATGCACCATCTGTACTGAGAGGGCATTCTTCGCCGCAGGTCGGTTCAATTGGATAATTTTGATGGTACCAACTTGGGGAGCGTCAATTCGGTTAGAGATCAGTGTTGAGGGCATTTTTACGTCACCCGCAGGGACTAGATGCCACTCTTTAGAGATAGTTGTGAGGGCCTGCACCTTGGAAGCGGTCGTCTCAGTGGTAACGGATTCAACCTCGGAATTAGTGGTCCCAACAGTGACAGGTTCAACTAAATCAGATTCCATAGTGCTGGGTTCGACAACAGGAGAGGTAGCCTCCGTACTGGCCGGACCAACTTCAGTAGTAGTGATACCAATGGTGACAGTTTCAGTGTCTGAAATCGATTTTATGGTTATTGGTTCTACTTCTGTAGTCGCGGCTTCAATAGTGACAGGCTCAATGTCTGGAGCTGACTTGATCGTGATGGCCTCAATCACTGGAGGAGTGCTATCGATGGAGATCATGCCTTCTTCCGAAGTGATAGGAGGCTGTGGCAAGGGAGCAACAACCTCCTCACTGGAGGCTCCAATGCTGTCTGCGTCATTTGTGAAACGACTGAAATACTCGTCCTCCAGGAGACACTTGATTGTACTTTCTTGTTCAGTCACCATAAACTCACAACTCCCATCTGGAACCCGAGGCAAGACAATAACAGCACCAGCCTGGGTTCCTCTGGCCGGCAGGCGAAGAGCTTTGATATGACCATCACCAAAGATAGGTCCGAAGTTCATGCCGTGAAGGTCCATTTTGAACAGACTGGTCAGAATAATGCCCGATGTAGACATGGCTTCCAGAATATTCAAGCGGGTATGAGTTTCAAGCGCTGTTCGTTCCGCATATCCTACCAAGTCGCGGAATTTCTCGGCCGTAACACCCTTGATATCAGCGCGCAGAGCTCGAGCCGCGGCACCGAGGCCACTTTCAAAGTCTGCCAGATCAGACAGAGGCACTGATGACTTGGTCATGTAAATAACATTTCCAAAGTACGGCATGGGAATCTCAAGGTGTGGACGGCAGTCCACAGGCTGTGCTACATATGTTTCTGCATCGCCGTTCAAGATTCCGGCCCGATGGCGGGCTAGCATGATGCTGCGCCAGATAAAGGCGGAAATTGCGTCGTTGGTGGAAAACCATTCGTCTGGACCACGAGAAGTGGCAGAGAGGGATTTTTTTGAGATCGCTCAGAGCCTTGACACTGATGCGGAAGGTACGGCACGAGTTCTCCACGTTATGAATTTGAGCATGTGCGTTGGCCGGATCCGAAGTCCATGCCGCATGATTTTCGATGGATCCAGGGACCCCATGACCGGATACCAGCTTTGTACGATCTGTGCGATATACATCGGGTCTTGGTTCTAGCGGATAATGCGTCTCGCCTGACTGTGCCTTGCTGAGTTCATTGGCAAAGATCTTGATCACTTCAGTCACTCCCCGACCATCCGCCGCGTTGTGAATAATAGATACAACGAGAAGCAAGCCACCTTCAATGAAGTTGGCCTGGAAGCGGCATACGTCCACTGACTCATTTTTGAAGTACCCGACCTCTGGGAGGGGACACAGCTGTTCAGTGTTCAGCAGATGTTGCGAGAAGTTGGTCTTGGCGAGATCTGAAAACCTGAGCTCTTCTGATAGATCCTTGACAATGAGCTGGGCGCCGCCTTCGGGAATGATGTTGCGAAGCCATGGACGTCCTCCTTGATGCGACGAGAAGGGGACTACAGAGCCTGCCAACAAAGGAAGTCGCTGGACGGTGTGGTGAAATGCTATATGCAGTTGTTCCACCACCTTTTCCTTGTCCGTAGTTTCTGGGAGGGAGAAACACAGAATCCGTTTCGAATGCGTTGGTGGCAGAATACGATCCCAATGGGAGATCTCTACCTCGAACGGAGGACACTCGACAGTAAAAGACCGTTCCATTTTCTTTTGGCTAGCGTTGACGCGCGAATGTAGGTGCTTTATTCAATGAGAGGACTGTTTCATAATTCCATGCCCCTAAGACACCTTCATAGGATTATTTGAGAGAAAGACTGATCCCAATAATAAATGCCTACAGTGATAGGAGGCTGGAATCCGGACCCCTTCACCATCACCGTGCTTCCAATCGGGTCCATAACTCACAATACGTGATTGATAAAACAAAAACCCAAAAAACCCCATACTTCGAAATAGATTAGCACACGTCAGCATCACATTGTCGCCGAGGCTGAAGTTCCCGGGTGGATTCTTCTCGGGTACATAATCCTAGCCCTGGCTAATCGGCTCCTTTCTTCACACTTGCTGTTCATTGATTTGATTATTTTATACTCCATGTTACCTTGCTGCCTTGTTACCTTATTGCTTAATTGATTTTCAGGATTTTCACCACGCCACTCAAACTAAAAATCCATTCAGACCGATGGCTGCAGTTCGATAAGTGTCCAGAAAGCCACACCATTCTTGAGCTTCGGATGAAATATCTATTGCACTCTCATTGTATTTTGCGATAAGGATAAGATCAACGAAACTATCCGACTATATCTACATGCAACTAGCGCAAATTGCACTCAGGGAGTACTAGAGGCTTCAAATGCCCCCCCGCCCCCGCCCCCACATCATTAATGGACCCAACACAGGCCAAGCGTTTGAAGTCATTATATCTTCGAGAAAGCTCCATTTTGTTATTTCGCATGCAATAATTTCATCACGCTTTTAAATAAGCAGTAAGTAGCAAGCCATACTAAAAAAGAAATGAGCAGAGGGACAGAGAGGGCCGCATTTCTATCAACCCTTCCAGACCAGCAATCAGAAGCGAGGCGGGAAAGAGGCCGAGGATTGTGGTTTGAGTTCAAAAATTTCCGATGCATACATGTAATAGGACTACAACGTAAGTTGATTGGGCCCGAGAGAGGTAGTATGCAGCAAAGGTACCTTTGCCTTTTTGGGGGCCACGAGGTAAGCTCAAACCACCCTCATTCCTGACATCCCGCACAATGTCTTCGAAGAACCCGAATCTGAGATCATGGCCGCCCTAAGTTTCCAATGTCTATGTGTTGCTTCGGCAGTTCGCGCCTGGGAGCGCATCGAAAGCATGGTCGATGTCAGTTTCGATGTGATCATCGCTGCAAGTGCACAGACCATTCAATTATCCCAGCAGTCGCAACAATGCCAGCTACACAGTCAAAGCTCAGCAGCAGAAGCATACAATACCTTCATTCGCATCTATGGGAGGCTGGTCCCCCTGCTTGAAAGGGCTATAACTACATATGCAACAAACTTGCAACCTCCTCTATCCACATCGCCGACATTCCAAAGAACCGATCCCCGAAACTTGACCTATCCGCTGGATAATCAGGTTCTAGGCTCAGTCCTTCGCGATTTTAGTACACATCGATCCCTACAGGAACAACGCAACCCAGCCACTATGGTCTGCCGACCGTCCAAAATGACATTGGGCCAATATGAAATGGACGAGCAGCAGAGCCAGTATTTGGCTCTTGATGTCATTTGCCGGACTCTCCGCAATCTAGTCATCGTCCTGCAGGAGATGGGTGGCGGGGAGAATGCGGAGATTAGGCAGGTGGATGCGCGATTGTTGACCATACTTGTGCAAGTCAGGCGGCTGTTGGAAAATACTTCGGCTACTCTCTCTATCTTAGAAAGCTAGGTCTTGTATGCTACATAGAATGGGACAATTTCTTTACTTACTTTCAGTCGACTATCCATTCAAAAGGTTCAGAGGCAATCCATTCAGAGTCTAAAAGTTAATACCTCAATAGTACAGGGAAATCAAGTCAGCCGCGGGGAGAGAGAGAGAGAGAGAATAAATAAAATCTAATCTGTCAGAGTAATAAACCCGACGAAATGCTCTAATCTTCGCAACTGATCTCTAAGTAAATCTTGCGTAACTTTGATGCTCGCGCCGTCCCCCTCTACTCTACCCAGCAACTGACTCAACTGCTGCACTACCCCCAGCTGTCGCTCTAAGTATAGGCGAACCAATCTTCGTGAAAAGACCAATTTCACCGTCTCATCCAGGTGGATGTTCCCCAAGGTGAGATGGCCTGTCGTGTACGGTAAAGGGTTGCGCGACCTGTCTTGGCCGGCGTAGTTTCCACCACCGAAGGCGATTCTGGGGGCCACATTCAGTTCTCCGCGGCTCATGCTGCTACCCGAACCACCATCAGTGGATCCACAGCTCCGCTCAAATAAACTGAGGAGATTGATGTTCACCATGGTGATCAACATCAGTGTCAAGGCCGCCGCGCAACTCACTAAGCAGCATGGGCAGCCCAAGATCGTTTCGTGTACCTTCCGCACTCGCTTGTCGAGATTAAGTAGCACGTCAAGGGGGAGGCCTGAGCTTTTCCGTTGGAATTCATTCATGTCGTTAAGTATGTTGATCAAGACCGGGTAGCATTGAAACGTGCATCGGTCAGTGGGTGCAGATAATAAATTGAACCCACGGGCCTCTGTGACTGGGGAGGAGGCGGACGAGGGAAAAGAGGAGAGGACAGGGAAGGCATTCAGGGATTCGGACAGCACGGGTCCTGTTCCCAGAGAGTACCCCGCAGAAAAGGGAAATTCCGAACTGAGTCCGAATGATCCAGCTTCAGCCTCAGGGGGGGAATGTCGTGGCGAGGGATTCTCGGCTACTTAATGACGAAGGGCTCAAGTAACCTGTGAGGTCTTCTTGGCCGGGGTTAGGATCTAGATCATGAACCTGGTCCAACCGGGGGACTGCAGAGGCTAACTCGTGGTCGGCCTGGGGTAGCGTCGACATGGATGCATCTAAAAGCCCCTCCAAGGCGGACCAGTTGGTCCCTTCTAACCCATAGTCCAAACGGTTGATATTTCCCGTTAATTCCTGGTCGGACCAGGTCTGGCTTGGCACCAAGACTGACTCCTGGGCATGCAAGACTCTATTTGTTGCATGACGGACATTGCCTACCCTGGATCCGTTCTCAATGCCGGGAGATGCGAGGGAAACTCGTCGTGATAAGCTTCTGCGGGCCGTCCCTCCCGCCGTCCTCCCCTTTGGTTGCTGCAGCTGGTCCAGGGGAAGATTCTTGGTGGAGGGCCGGCCAATCTTGCGGTATGGACTATATACACATTGGCGACCTTGCTGGAGACACCGAGCGCATGTCGGTTTCGCTTGGCTACATTTGATCTTGGCCTTGAGACACGTATCGCACGAAGAATGGAACTTGAACCCGGGCGGGGAATCATTGCGAGGCTTCGAGGAAGACTCTGGCTGGAGAAGCATAGTTCCAATGGGGATTTAAACAAAATGAGTTGAGGATTTCCCTTTTTTTCAATCACGGCCAGGGTAGAAGAGCGATAATGCAGGCCATTAAGAAAGAAGCATTGCTTAGTAAATAGATAGATCGGCAGATACCGAAGCACTGCCCAGGTGGGTAAGAAGCGTTGGTGTCTGTCCATGTAAGCTTACATATTGCGCAGACGAAGTTTGGTGTTTTAGAGCGAAAGAACTACTCAACCAGAAAGGGAATATTTTGATGGGCCTTCGTATTAATCCCTGGCAGATTTGCCACTGCAGAATCTACGTTCTATAATAGGACATTTGTCCTCATGGCAAAGTAGCTAAAGAGTGGGTAGACATTAGTAGGGGCCACCTGTCGAATCAAGATGTAACCCTACCTGAATTAGCGTGTTTCTTCTACTCCGTACAGAGCGTACAAAACTACAGAGTAGATAGTCTGTTAATATTTGATTAAACCTTTTTCGGACCAACTCGTATTAACCTCTACCGAATGATAGTTGTTCTTGGAGTCCATCCATTGGGAGTTTCTAGGAATATGTGCGACAATACACCTTAATAGGATCTTGTTGATTACAACAAACAAGAATATGAACATGCTTTGGAAATTCGCAGAAATTGACAACACATTACATAGATATAGATACAGTAATATTTGAACTCAGTCTTACCTCTAGCCTCCCATTATTCCCGACGGTCTCCACTCATCCTAACCAGCAGGATTGCGTTGCCGCATACGCTAACGAGGATAGGAGAAAGGTGGCCAATTACGCCACATGGGCAGCCAGAATAGAAATGAAGGAAGAAAGGATCCCGAAGCATATGAGATAGGGTGAGAAGAGAGAAAAGGAAGCACGTGGGAAGCACCTCTAATCTAACGCGGGCCGGCGCATAACATGAAACACAGAATGAGTCTCAACAGTATGGAAAATTGCAGTACAACCTAGATAGGAAGCTGAGACGGAATTAACCGTAAAGGTGCATGTGTGCCATAATTATCCACGAAGGAAATTCTTCACGTCCCATCATTGGAAGGTTAATTTGATTATAAGCAACATATGGATAACGCTAGCCCCCTCATGAGCACGGGCTATCGGATGCTTACACCAGTTGAACGGACGATTTACAGGGGCATCATTGACCTTGAATAGTCGCAAAGAATTCTAAGAGAGGGTCATGAATTCCAGAGTGACTCGGGCTACTGGAAGTGTATAACATATTTCTTATCTTCTATGGTTAATGTGCAGGGTGACTCCCACCAGGCGGCCGGCTTTGATTTTCCTATCTTCTGCAACTACTGTACTTTTCGCCCACCAAATGTACCTCGCAGAAATAGGAGAGGTCTTACGATTAAAGTGAGAGGGGAAATAAAACTGATTCCGAATATTACCATATCCGACCTAAAGTTGAAAGTGAAAGAATCGAAATGCAAAAGACCTTAAGCTATGATAACGTGAACGTGAAAAAGGTTGGACCCCGTATTGGAGGCGGGACAGCCTCGTATTGTGGAATCCTTCCCGACGGGCGAGAGCCAAGAAGCGGCCTAAGGGGCGGGTAGAGGCTTGTTTTGTGGTTCATCTTCACCAATCGATTTATTGGCGGTGCCAAGACGTCTGGGCGATGAACAAACCGCAACTCAAATTGAAATCAACAAACAAGCATACCAGAATCACAGCCCCGCCAATCCTATTTCAAGAAGGGACCTAGGCTCGCATCGCCCATTTCCACAGTGTGGATAATACAAACCATGCAAAGAGGCTTGCAGGTGCAAACAGTCCTGAAGACCCAGAAGGGGAGAGAAGTGCCAATCAAAGGCTGAGAAAGGGCCCGACCTCGTATCGCCCCTTTACACGACATGGTTAATACAAACTATGCAAAGAGGCTTGTAGGTGCAAACAACCCTGGAGATCTCGAAAAAGAGAGAAGTACCCAATCAAAGGTTGAGAAAGGACCCGACCTCGCATCGCCCCTTTACACGACATGGCTAAGACAAACCATGCAAAAAGGCTTTATAGATGCAAACAGACCCCAAAGGAGAGGAAGTACCAATCAAAGTCCAAGAAAGGACCCGAGCACACCTTACGTTACACCATCACCAAACTATGCAAACCATACAAATATCAGCCATCATAAACATCACTGGCCAGATCCAATCATCAGTCCACAAAAGCAGCGGCTTTTTGTTGTCTGGTTTGCATTTGTCGGACTTAGGAGATCTTAACAGCGAGTGCAAACATGACCCTTGGAAGTTTAGGGGTAGAAACCACAGACAAAGAAGCACCGCCATACTTAAGAACACTATGGAGTAATCATTGGCGATTTACACAGACGGTTTTTTCATTTTCAATTAGCGCTGCCTAACTCCAGTCCCCCACATCAGTTGGATATCCGGAGCTAGTGCCAGCCACATACACTTAGATATAATATGGCTGAAGTCAAAGATCCATCTCGGGAGTCGTTACCCACTTCGAGTAGCCCGGTACCTGTCGCCGAGTCTGAAGAGTCGAAAGAAATATCGATACGCAATGCTACAGATGAGGATGAGAAGAAACCGGCGCCTGCAACAGGGCCTCCCAGTGTGGAGTATCCGGGAGCCATAATGGGCAGTATTCTCACCATCGCCTTGCTGTTGGCCATGTTTCTGGTCGCTTTGGACATGGTAAGGACTATGTTTCTTATTCTTCTACTTCTTCTTTTTTTCTCTCTCTCTCTTTTCAGGGAGCTATGCAAGAAGGTAGCTAATCAAGTCTCATCAGAGCATCATCACCACTGCTATCCCCACTATCACGGCTCGCTTCCATAGCGAAGGTCAGATGGGATGGTATGGATCCGCCTTCTTCCTTTGTTTAGCCAGCTTTCAGTCCTTTTGGGGGAAAGCATACAAGTACTTCCCCATCAAGATTGCCTTTTTAACCGCTATCGGCGTGTTTGAGCTAGGAAGCTTGGTGGCCGCCCTCTCGCCCAACAGCCCGGCCTTGATCGTCGGCCGTGCTATTCAAGGCGTCGGTGGTGCGGGTGTTACCGGTGGCTGCTACACAGTTCTAGCCTTCATCACGCGTCCAAAATACCTACACGCGGTTTTCGGTCTCACCAGTGGCGTCTTTAGCTTGTCTTCTGTGCTGGGTCCCATCCTGAGTGGTGTATTCACTCAGTACGCGACATGGCGATGGTGCTTCTGGGTTAACTTACCCATTGGAGGTTTCGCAGTGATCATTTTGGTATTGTTCTTGAAGATGCCTCCTCATTCCCGTGTTGCGCATGCTACATTGAAGGAGCTCCCCTTCCTCTTCGACATCCCCGGCATCGCCCTCACGGTGTGTGCGTTGGTATGTCTAGTCTTGGTACTGGAGAACGGTGGTGTCACGAAGCCCTGGAACAGCAGTTACTGTATTGGACTTCTCATTGGATTTATCCTGATCATCATTTTGCTCATCGTGCTAGAATGGAAGCAAGGTGAAGGGGCCATGATTGTTCCTCGGATCATCAAGCGCCGAACCGTTCTCGTCCTTGCACTGTTCAACTTGACAGCACAGGGCTCCGGATTCGCCCGTATTTATAACCTTCCCATTTACTTCCAGGCAGCACAAGGCCAGTCACCATCAGAGTCAGGCATTCGAACACTGCCTACAGTGTTGACAACCTGTGAGTAGCCTTCGCCGTTGCCCCTATCGCCCCGTCTCTCGTGATTCCTCGGAACTAACACACCTTCCTAAACAGCGATATTCAGTTTTGCCGGATCCCTTGCTATCGGCAAGGTGGGTTACTACCAGCCCTTCCTCATGCTGGGCTCCATGTTTGTGACGATAGGGTCCGCTATGATCTACACCCTGGAGCCGAACTCTGGGGCAGGCAAATACATTGGCTATCAGGTGCTGGCCTCAATTGGGTCAGGTCTTATCATTCAACTCAACGTCATTGTCGCCCAGGCAATCTCCAAGCGGGCGGACATGTCTGTCACCGTGGGTTCCGTTTTATGTGAGTCATGCTTCGCATCATCCTCTTTTGCTGTCTCTGGCCACACTGACTAACGGAAACCCTGATTCTCACAGTCTTCCAATTCATCGGTGGTACTGTCGGTGTTGCAGCTTCCACGAATATAATGAACAACGTCCTCATTTCCTCGCTGCCGACAGATGGCCGGATATCTGCTGCCGATGTGCTTAGCGCTGGTTCAACCGGTCTAGCCAAGATATTCCCGAATCCCGCGGATCTCGCGGCTGTTGTTAGTGCTTACATGAAAGGACTCAAGGCCGCCTGGATCTGGAGTATTGCCCTAGCCGGAGTGTCCTTCTTGGTCTCCCTCGCTGCAGAGCGCAAGAGTGTACGGTTGGACCATGTTAAAAAGAGAGCCGAGAAGAAAGCTGCGGAGGAGGCTGCGAGTGCTTGAACCTGCATTCCAGAAACCGTTGAGTTTGGGCGGCTAGTTACTAGAAGACCTCTCTAATGGCAGATCAAGAAACTTCAGGGTAACAGCGAGCGCCCAATAAAGCCAAATCACTGTGGCTCTCGCAAGAATCACTGCTGTCACAAACGAGTCATCGAGATGGCAAACAAGGTGCCCAGAGCACAGGGAAGACTATATAGATTGAACCCCAGTGATTACGCAATTCCAAACCATAATGTATAATTAGCTACAGAAAGTTAGTTACCCTAGATTTAGACAAAATTGAGATAGGATGATTAGGGACCGACAGAAATATGGATGTACAACAACATTGAATGTATGATATGACTGGGAGATGTGTATTGGGTTCCAATTCGGGTTCCAACTCGGGTAGACTTCTACCTAAAGTCTCCCTCACCTACTCCGTACTTTGTAGGCAGGTAGTTGAAGAGGACCCTCAGGTCTACCTGTGGACGGGTATATCATTTTATTATATAATCATATTCACGTGCCCAGGAGCTAATTTTATCTGATCTGATTCCACACTGAAGTGATTACCTAGATAGAGTTAAATTCTACTATCACCAAGATAGATCATTTA